TTAATTTTTGTACTCGTCAACAAGTTTTTTATTTGCAGAGTTATATTTCATCTTTTTGTGTAAACGCGTTCTCTCTTTAATTAGCTCTTTGTGTCGCGGTGTTATCCATAGTTTGTCCATTCTTTTTTTGTATGAAGTGTTTTTTTTTTTTTTTTTTTTTTCAAAAGTAATGACATCTTATAAATTTTTATAATTGTCGAACAATTTTTTAGCGTCTCGTTTTGGTTCTTTTTGATCACGCAGAGATTCCAATCAAAAGTTGATTAATCTTGATTTACAACTTTGAAATCAGCAAATGTATTTAAGCTTAAATTTTAGGTCCTACCGATTGGTCATAGACGAAAGTTAATTTCGTTTTGTGATCAGAGGCGTCTCACTCTATTTTCAAAACTATAAATTAATCCTGAAAAAATATGTTTAGGGTAGAGGAGGAATTCAAACCAAAGACGGCTTCTCTAGTTGAATGTTGCATTGTTGCATAAGTATTGAATGTAGAGTAACAACTAAGATTCCGGCATTTCTGGCCATTCACTTCACTCTTGATTGCCATTGTCAAAATATAAACGCCACCAATGTGATCCCAAGAAATTAATTAAATTGCACTGAAAGATGATTTTAAGAAAATAACACGATGTTTCCCCTTTTTTTCTTTTTATTAGAAGAAATTGTGTCTATACATTATGCCCTATCTCCAGGGTGGAAATTATTTAAGTCCGCCACCTGTGGGACAGGTATGCTTCACCGGTTGCATATCTTTAAAAATCAAAGTCAATGATCTGCAACTAGAAATGCTGAAGTAACACACTTGTTTAATCGAGATTTAAAATTTAATAAAATGTTTTTTTCTCACAATGCACCCTCCAAATTTTTAGCATTGCTTTCTAAGTGCAATTTTTATCGTAAATGATCAATTGATTAAAGCAACAACAACAAAATCGCTCTTAAGATCGCTTTGCTCTTAATCGTATTTTGGGAAAAACAGGCTTTTCCAACAAAATAGGCTTAATGGTCTAACCAGTTGCAAATATATCATTTTTAGATGTTTATAGACGCGCGATTTTGGTGAAGCAGCTGGCTTTAGCTGACAGCCGTTGTCAAAATTTTGCTTGATGGTGGAAGTTGGTGTGGCTGGTTGTCATAATTGCTGCTTTCGGCCAGCTAAAGAGGAAACTCTGTTTGTGAAAAATTCTTGAATACCAAAATTTAGTGACGAGGCTGTCCTTAGCAATACAACTGCATATACGATTTTTCCGCCTACAACCCTACAAGTGATTTTCTTTGAAAATTTAGAGATGAAATTTTCTTCTTAGTAAATAATCATCATTAAATAATAGTAAGGCCATTTTACAGTGGTGAAATAATGGCGATTTCTTGAGAAGAAAATTAAAAAGTTGACCTCTGCTTCTGTGAATTAAATACAAAATTCCTGTTTTGTTTTTTAAATTAAAGTTTGCCAGAACTATACCCTCTTCGCTCTCCAGACAAAAGAATTGTGCAGTAAATTTCATTCACCCTGAATAATAGCTTGACATCGGACTTTTAAACAAATTATAAAAGGTTAGATCTGATGGGTATTTCGCTGACGTTGAGAGTTTTCACAGGCGAGACAGGCTCAACGATCGGGAGGGTTGTTTTCCGTTCACGTCTCGGTAACATCACGGGTTGAGTTTAACCAGCGAAGCGCTTCACCCCTTAACTGCAAGTGAATTCTCCAAATAATGATTAAAATATAAATTCAAAGAAAAATTCCGCAACGAGCCTCGCTAACTGCATCTCCAATTAACTTCCAAAAGATAGACGGTTGCCATAATTCTTATTTCTAAATGATCTAAAAATAATTTAATTCAGTCAATGAGTGAGTTTACAAATGAAAAAGGGACATTTTGGTCTTGAGTTTTTTTATTTGCACGAAAAATTAGATACAAACATGCAAACGATCATTTATAAACTTCAAGTACAATAACTTGCAGGAAAAGCCTTAAGATGCATTACGTAATACATTATTTTAAATAAAAAAAGGTCACACGCGATTTCTCCTTAATCCTATAGGCACACCGCTGCCTGTCTCTGCGCCCCAAACGCGCGCGAGCGATGTCACTTGAGGCCAAGGCCAAGGACCTCCTTGCTTGAGGCAGCCCGGCAGTGCCCAACAGGGAGCTGGCAGCGGTCCTGGGATCCCGCAATCCAAGCTCGCTCTAGGCGGGCAGCAGCAACTGTTCCTTCACTTTAGCTTCATTTAACTTATTCACTCAAATTCAATTAAACACACCGACAAGCAACGGGCAACTACCAAAAGATGAATTAGTCCATCGAGTTTTTAAAAAATCGTCCCTTCCACCTTTTCTGCATCCTCACTTTTTCAGCGGTGCAAGGAGAAAGTGTCACGTGACCTCTGGTTGAATGTTATGTATTTTTTAAATTAAGGCTGCTTTGCGACAATTTCAAATCTGCAAAGAAGCGGTAGGACACGGTGGAAGATTTTGCTCGTAAATTTCAAGCACCGCCGAATGTTCCCCCGTAGATAACATGTATACGGGCAACAGCTTCTGCTTGGATCATGAATTATACATCAAGATAGTGTTTGTATGAAATTATATAAGACGGAAAAATAGTTTCGGGGAAATCATGGACACTTGGTGAAGTTGCGGCAACGTGCAAAGTCAAGGTGCCGCTGGCATATATCGATCCGCTCAGCAAAAATATTTGCCTGACACAAGTTGCTCTAAAAAACGTGCATCTAGGGGTGCACGCTCCTATCTCTTTCTTAGCTCGATTATACACAGGACATTAATGTATAATGTTGAGAAAGAAATCATTAGTCTGAACTGGATGGTTGATGTTGCATATGAAGAATATTTAATTCGTTAAATACAAATATTGTATTATAATATTAACATATAAATGTTATTCTCCCCAATTTTGCTATAACTATTCACTAATTTTTTCCGACTCATTTAGATTATTTTCTAATTTGAATTGATTTGAATTTTCAACTATCAATTTTCCCAGTAAAAATTCTTGGATAGCATGTTTCTCACGGAGAAATCTGCAGATTAAAAAATGACTACCATAAGTCAAAAATTTTTTTAATGATAACGCCGATAACTACCTGTCTATAGGTCACCCCCTTGAGGTTATAAAAATTCAAATATGTTTTGCATTTTTAAAAATTATTTTGGAAAATCTCAAGGATAGCGTTTTTAAATTTTCTTTTTCAGATTAAAACTTCTAAGTGAGGAGTGAGCAACTTTTCCATATCACTTTTGCAACGCCCGACAACTATCAATAGAGTGACAAAACTTGTAGGAACGTTTCTAGGTCATGCTTTGCTAGGTTTTGACTTTAAGTCAAATTTTCGAAATTTATGCGCCACGCGCCCCCCTTTTGATTTTTTGGAGGTATATGCAAAAATTTAGCCGGTCTTCTTTAAAATATATTATGGTGATTTACAAAAATGAAATATTTTTCATTCATAATTTATGATTAATTGATTCATACATGCGTGCGCTCAACAATTTTGCGCTCGCGCTCACTGGCAACAATGCGCTCGCGCTCAAGATTTTGAAAATGTTGCGCTCGCGCTCAATTTTTTGAAAGTCTCGCGCTTTGCGCTCAAAAATATTTTCAAGTAAAAGTGCGACTTTTCTACAAATTTTTAAAATTAAAAAACCCATCGGCAATTTGAAATGATATAGTTGAACTTAAATTACTAGAATTGGGATCAGTGATCAGTTTTGAAGTTTTTGGTATAAGAACACTGTTTTTTTTGTTATCAAGTTTCTAAATTTCTACTTTTGGTTTACGCGCAAAATGAGCGCTCACGAAGTCACGATTTTGAAAATCGTGCGATCGCGCTCATGAGCGCAGAGTGCTAGCGCAGATTGCAAAGTGCGCTCTGCCCATGTATTTAATGATTCATGATTATTTCCTTGCATGTATTCTGGAAAACTTGACGCAAAGTTTACCTCAAAGTGGGCTCTGCCTGTGTAATTAGTTCAGACAAATCATTGTTACTAAAGATCAAATATTAAACCTCAAAAATGTATCCGGTGGCTGGCGCCGCTGAGCCACAACCACAGCGGCATCCACGTTTGCTCACGAACTTTGAACTTACCAGTTTCATTTTTCTCAATTTTTCCCAAGCAAATATGATAAATTTTTTTTTTTTATAATTGAACTTCATCGCCTCCGCGAGTCACAACTTCTACTCCGCAGCTTAGCATTCTTTGAGACTTGAGACCTTAATTTCTTTTAATTAGCATCAACTTAAAAATTTCATTTTTAAGTGATTTTCATTTTTTTTTGTCTCACATTTGCGCAGCAGGAAAATGGTTCCCCTCTTAATTACTTTATTTTTAGGCTTATTTTAGTGATTCATTTGTGACGCTGTATTTTTCAGGTGTGTTTTTGTGTGAGATATAATATTACTTTTTTCACGTATTTTTTTTTTTTTTTTTTTTTTTTTTTTTTTTTTTTTATTAACGAATTGTGCATGTCATTTATTATGAATTTTTTAAACGATGAAATTTAGCCGCAAAGGCTGAGGTTAAAACCTTTTAGCCGAAAAAGTCGCTGCCAGATTACATTTTTGAGAGCGATATCTAAAAAGGGATAAAAGTTACAGTTACTGAAACTTTTTGAATTATAAATTTTCCATTATAAGATAATTTGGCTTTCGGCTTATCTCAACGCGGACCTCTCTTGAGGCCCTGCGTTTTAGCAACTTGTTTGCCAGAGGTGTTGCCGTTTTCATTGCATTTTTATTTGTCATTTTTACTTCTTTATTTTTGATGATTTGTGAAGAACTAACAACAATAATAATATTAATAATGAACATAACTTGAAACAAGATTTTTTACCTTTTTTACATTTAAAAAATGATGTTGAAATTAGAAAATTTATGTGCAGACTTGGAGTTTTGCTTTTACAATGAGCCAGTTTCTTTGTTATTTTTATTTTTGAAATGCGCAATACTAAAATTTCACCAAATTTGTTTCCAGGAAATGGAGATTGTCAAGTACAGGTCATATGAAAGAGTTGTGTATACGGTGAGTTGGCAATTTTAAAAAATTATAAAATTTATTTACATAGTGCTTTTTAAACTTTAGGCTGGTATTTGTGGTACTGGTAAAATCGGATGTAAAGTGCAAGTCTTTGAAGAAATTCAAAGAGAAAACTTGGCGCTACCTTATTTCTTTGATGATAAGGAATTTCATGCCGAGGATCTTCACTGCTTGGGGCCCCACATTGGCAACGTGTTCTTGAAACATGCTGTGGTAAGCATATAATATATATATATACATAAGTATGTAATAATATGTATGTGTGTGTGTCTATATATACATATTATATTATACATGGTCTGACTTGTCTTGTCCACAAGTGAACCTATGAAAGTCATCTAGATGACCTGCGGACGTCCTTGACAAGAGACGTACATCTCCAACCGGCCTTACGTCTCAAGGACGTCCCCAGGAACATGATTCTCTCTCCAAATTTTCACTATGCCCTGCAATATAAGCAAAAAAAAATTTTGAATTATTTAATGTGTCTATATATTTTGCGTGAACTTCCAGATGATCGACCCAGAGATGCGCCTTCGAGGTGCGAAGCCAAATGAATTTGACCGCGATCATTTTGCACAGGGCTTCGTAGGCAATTGCTGGCTTTTGTCAGCTCTGGCTGCTGTAGTGTCTGACACCGAGACCATGAAAACGATCTTCCCGGATTCAAATGCAGAAATTGGATCTGATTTGCACACTGGCGCTCTAAAAATTAGGTGAGACAAATTAATAAAAAGCAAGCAAATATTTTATTTGATAAAAAAAACTACGCTGAAGGGTGTGCGTTGAAGGCACCTGGGAGGCAGGCGTCGTTGACACCAAAGTCCTTAGAGCAGGAGAAGATTTTGTTGGTTGCCAACCAGTCCTCAAAGCTGAGAACTTAATTTTGTGGCCGTTGATGATCGAGAAGTATCTCTTTAAGTAAAGTGCATTTTAAATTTATTAAGTTATTATATAATGCTATTTTGTTTATAGGAGGTATGGGTTGTGCCTTCTGGACGGAGGGTATATGTGTGAAGGGTTTACCCTCCTGACAGAAGGCACCACCATCACCTTGAGGACATTCGAATCCTGTCCCATAAAACTGCTCGAGCTAATGCAGCACATGTTTGAACACAATGGTTTTGTCTGTGCTGCCACGGAAGTAAAAGATTATTTAAAGTAAATGACCACTCTTTTGATTACTAATTTTCTGCTGTCCCAGAATGCAGTAGAAGGCTCCAATTCCACCTCACAACTCACGGCTGGCCATGCATACTCCGTTTTAGGAGTATACTTTGTAGAAGTCCAACCTACATCAGAAATGAGAGACAATGGTTTCAAAGAAATTCTAATAAAATTGCGTGACCCTTGGGCGGATCGAGAGCCCAAATATCCTTGGTCTAAAAAGAGGTATGCTTATAAAATATATTTATGTAATTTTTGTTGTGTTACAAAATTATATTTTACTGCGCGCAGCGACCCTCTATGGAAGAGAGTTTCAGACGCAGAAAAACAAGAAATTGGATATTGTGAGCTTGGTAATGGTCAGTTCTGCATACCCTACAGACATTTCTTTCGGTTGTTCGAGTTTCTGCAACTATGTAACAGCTCTCTACCTCCAGCCACTCCTGGCATCTATAACAGATATGATGGGCTGACTTCTCAAGTGTTTATGTTGAATTCCCTCTGGGAACCAGAATATTCGGCTGGTGGAGACCGACGCTTTGGTATAATAACTTCGATTATTGCATTTTTATGTATTAAACATTCAATTATTTTAGAGACTTATTCTACAAATCCACGACTCTACTTTACTGTGCCCAAGAATGAAAATGGATCTACGTCTTGCACGTGGGTCCGACTGATTCAGCAAGGGCAGCGAGAATGCTCCAATAATGATCCCAACTATTACCAGTTTTGCTACGGATTCGACATTTTCCATGTTTGCTATTAATTAAAATTTTCCACTAAAGAAATCTGACTAAAATTTGATAGGTTGGGTCCGACAACACGATTGTGAACTCAAACTGGTTGCAAAACAACAATCCAGTTTTCAGTACAATCCCCGACTTCTTAAGTCAGACTTCTGCCATGGTTGAATTAAAACCAGGATACTACTTGGTCATCCCCTACACAGAAACTCCGGAAAGCAAGGCTTATCAGTTCTCCCTCAAGGTGGTCGTCGAAAGTGACAAGTGCCTCTCTTGGTATGTTCCCAAAATTATCAAGTATTATTTTCTTCAACTTTGGCAACTTTTAGCACAAAACTGGATGAGGAGTATTGGGAGTGGATCGAAGACCGTGTGAGTATGTATGAAAAATCCTCCAAAGCTGATGAGCACAAAGAGCTGGGCAAGTCTGACCAACGCAGAGCACACGATGAGCTCTTGAGAGCTAGAAGAAAGAGATGGGTCTAAAAAATGTCTACAAGATTTCTGCCCTCTGGAAGCTGCATTTGTAAGTACGTGTAAAACATATGTGAAATATCAATTTAATTATTTTTAATTGACTGCTACCTAAAAATTTCAAACTTTTTTTGTGGTTTAATGTGGTTTACCAATATAGAGAGTGAACCCATGCATGTTGATGGCTCAAAAAAAAAAAACAAAAGCAAATTTTGAACAATTTGAGGGAAAGCCAGACAAACTATATAATCATGTCCACGGCTAGGCAAATCTTGCAGTTACACGCTATTTTTCATTTAATATTTGCTCTGTGGTTAACATTTTCAATTTCATTTTTATGCACTTGCTCTCCATCCCGGAGATTGTGGGCTCGATTCCCACTCCAGGCGGATTTTTCTCGGGGGAACCTCTATGAGTGATTTCTCATGCTGGGACTGCGAGTGAAGGGTTGTTCTTTGCTGAAGTCGGCCGGAGGCCGCAGGATTTTGTGTCAAGAAGGGTACACTTGGCACCCCAGTTGTACGCAAAAGAGTTTATTACAAATATCCTTATTTTTTTTTACCATCAAAACGGTTAGATGGACTCATGTGATAACGTGATTATCTTCGAATAAGATTTTGAAAATATCTATCAAATTGTGTGACTTGAATGAAAATATATGTATTATATTTGCAGATTCTAAATTAAACATGGCATCGTCTTCTTTGAACAACCAGTACATCAATGATCAAACGGAGCTGGACGAGCTTGCTGTCCTCAACAATCTAAATGACATGAAGCGCACTTTGATGGACTGCGGCCACCGAAAATGATGAGCTTTCGATAAAAGCTTCTGAATACTTCTGGCAGAAATGGCCGCTCTGCATGACCCAACGATGGAACTGAAAAGGTTCAACTATTTGGAATTCCTGGATGACATCGAAATTTCTACTCTCAAAACTGATAGCCCTGAAGTCCAAGCTGTCCTTGACGCTGAATCAAAGGAGGACCAAAGGGTTGTTTAGCCTGAAACCCTTGCAGCTAGCTAAAAAGGAACTCTTTGAATTCAGGGTCCTTCCATTAATGATGACAAAAGTCAAGCTCAGTGATTCCACTTCTTGAGAATTTAAGTTATAAATGAAAGCATAAATTTAATTTAATCCCCTTAAGGATATACAGCCACAGCTAATTGAGATAGCTTAATTTAATTTTTAAAGTTGTTTGATTTGATGGGTATAAAATAAACTTATCAATTGCCCAATTGGTTCAATAATTCTCATTTATTTAATTTTCGCACCAGTATTATTATGAGAAATCTCCTGTCATTCATAAAAATTAATTATAATTGCAGAATAAAAGAATGCATGCTATAAAATTTGAAGTGATGATAAACCCATAAAAAAGCGCCTCAAAACGCAAAACTGCAAGTTTGATATTGATGCCGAGGATTGATTTACATGAGCTCAACTGTTCATTTCTACACAAGCTTTTAAAATAGTATTGAAATTGGCACACATGCTTTAGTTTCATCAGGAACTTGAAAGTAACTAAAATCTCTTTCAGTTCAAGTAATTGTTATAATAAATGCATTCTTTTTAAATTGCACGTAGCCATTGAGGAACCGTGCTAATGGTTTTTTGAGCTCACGAATTTACTGATGGTTTTCTTATTTTATACATGTTTGCATCACTCCAAGTGAATACACAATAGTGCATGGAAAATTTCAATACTTCTGTGAGGTATAATTATACGACATAATAGGTTAACAATGCAATAATATTCAGACCGTCGCATTTAAAGATCTATGCACACCTACACCTAAAATAGCTTTCAGTCACATTGGAAGAATTTCAGCTTTTATGCTGGTTTCCAGGGCGGTTTTTGACTTGTGTCCTTAGACGATTTGTTTTTATCATTCAGTGTCAACTTGGACAGATCTAACTCGGCGGCAAATGATCCTGAAGGTCTTTCACGTCTTAAACTCTATGAAAAGTTTTATAAATATTTGAATAAATGACAGACACGATAAGAATGAAATAATATATAAGGTCGTAAAATAATTATAATGACAACTATTTAATTAACTAGAAATATTGACCTGGCTGTCCGAGTCTTGCATAAGGGGGTCACCGACTGGTCTTGTAAGCAACTGGAACATAAATTTCTTGAGACTATTGACCTTTATCAAAATTAAACCCCACCATTTCAATATATTTCTTCAACTGGTCCTGTTCCGTTCGACTTTCATTAACACTCGAGGTAACTGGCATATCATTACTCAACCACGATCGAGTGTCATGCACTTTTGAATCAGCCTAGATATTTTCTATTCAGTTAAAATTTATGGCAACAATATTAATTTACAACCGATGAGGTCGGCTGCTCCCAGATCAAGGTAGTTGCTTGCTGGTATTGACTCTGCAACAGACTCCGCATTTTGGATGCGAGCTGCTCTTTGTGCTTTTCTTGCTTTTCCAACTCAGACGTCAGTTCTTGGATTTGTTCCATCGCCTTTGCCAATGATCGTTTCCACCAACCGACATCTCTTGTGTGTCTCTCCTCAACCTGCTTCAGCTCGTTCAGATGCCTACAAAAATCACAGTTATTATTTACTTAAAGAAATTCTGGTTCTGTAATACCTTTGCTCCATCTCACTGAGCACCTTAGCATGCTTAGCAGCCATCTCGGCTTCCTTATTTTCCCACTGGTTGCGAATAGCTGCTTCGGCTTGATCAAGTTGGGTTTGAAATTCGCTCAACTTGGACCGCACAACCTGGTCTAGCTGAGATTGGTACTGCTCCTTCAGAGTACTCCTGCTCTGCTCCATTGCTTGGGTCAACTCTTTAATCTCCTGTCTAGCCGTTTTCTAGGATTTAAGAACAATAGGATTTTTAAATTATTTTTAATTTTTATTAGTAGTACCTCTTTGCTTCGAGCATCATCTAATGATTGCTGAAGGGAATCAACCTTCTGCCTGAGGTCTTTGGCTTCCAAAATTAATGACTCATCTCGTTTGTACTGCGTCTCAAGTGCAAGTCTTTCTTTTCTCTCCTGAAAATATTTCCAGTTTATTTATTAATAGCATATTGCTACACAGTTCATGATAAACTCACCCAATATCCCTTGATTTAGCAAGGAAAATTAATTCCATCAATTTAACATTTTGCTAAAGGAATAAATTAAAATAACTTACATCATCAAGAGTATTTTGGAGTGAAGCTAGCTGGTCAGATCTTTTGTTCTCGTGTCGATCGGAGATTTCTGCAGCTGCCCTCAATTTCAACACTTCCTGTTCAAGGGATCGGCACTCTCTCTCCAAAGCGGCCTCTTTGGCTTTGGCCACCGAATCAAACTCTGCTTTATCCCTCTCTAGTGAGAGTGCTCTTTGTTGAAAGCCACTGGCGAGATCAAGTGCTTTTGACAACTCTTTCTCGCAATTCCGCAGACGCTACGCAAAAATGATTAATCTTCTTTCCTTCAGAGGATTTTCTCAACCCACTTGAATGGTAGCGGAGCACATTTCATGCTTCTCTGTCAATTCCAAGAGCATTCTTTCTCTCTCTGTCTGCCACTGCCGAGCAGTTCCTTCATAGCGGGTCCTAAGCTTTGACAAATAGTCGTCCTTTCTGGCATCGACTTGTGTGGCCACAGCAACTCGTTCACTCTCCCGCAGCAATTTTTGCTGGAGATCACCAATCACTTGTTCACAATGCTGAAAATTAAGAATATTTAGATAAATAGGCAACCAAGAACAATTAAATAATTTTCTAGCATATCCGAATGCTTTAAGGGACTGTTTATTAAACGAGCAAGAGTTGCTGTTATGTACAACGTGGCATACCAAGGGCTCAGGGACTCTACTAGCTAGACATTGAAAGCCACACAAGCGTTAGAAACACATTTTAGGTCAGTACCTGCTTTTGCCCTTGCGCAGCCTACAAACACATAACATGGATCATGTAACATTTAGAGTCATTCGTGGTGGAATTATGAACAAAATAAGACAAAATGCTCAGAGCAAAAGGACTTGCCATTCGCTTGTAAACTTCTTCCTCAAGTTTTTGAGAAAGGAGCAGAGGATCAACAGGGCCTTGCTGGGACGGTTCCGAAGGCCCGAGCGGTTGAACTTCAGAATCTCGCCACATTTGGCTGAGACTCGGCAATGGAGTGCCAGGAGAGCTGCCTCTTTGCAAATCTTTAAAATTAAAACAAAAACTATTTACTAAAAGGAAACAAAATAAATTTTTGTGCCAAATGAAGAAGATTTGGTTAATACTCTTAATGTTTCATCTTCTATTTAATTACTCAAAGAAGAAAATTTGAAATTAATTTAAAGAAAATAGCACAAAATTTAATTTTTGACTATTTCTTACCTGCGACTCTTGGGACTGCCTCGGCCGAGACTGGAACAAATGCACTCGGTCTCTTCATGTAACTTCCCATTTTTTCAGCACTTCCCCTGACTGGAGAAGAATCATCAAACTCCAGCTGCCGCTTTGCGCTGAAGTTAAGTAATCAATAACAGGCAACCAAAATTTGAAAAAAAAAACTTACGCAGCCAAGGCGGAGGCGTTTTCGGAGCCCCCGACTGAGTAGTAGTACTTTTTGGTGCAGGGGTCTTCGTGGACGGGCAGTCGGCTTGGTGAGTCTTGAGAATGCGTCTTGCAATGGTGCTGCGGAGGGCCTAGACTGGCCAAGAAGGCTCGGAGGCCAAAACCAAGGTCAGGGACCGACCCAATGTTGTCACCGCACACATAAGGGTGGCTTTGGGGTGACGTCGGCTCTCGAGTCTCCTCCTTATTGGGCTCCCCTTGCTTTGGTGTGTCACCCATTGTGGGCAAATCGCTGGTGCTGCGTCTGAACTTGGAAGAGTCGAAGCCATTGCTCTTGGCCATCAGGTTGGACGTGAAGTCGGCGCTATAGCGGGGCCCAGAGGCACTCGAGGGTTCCTCTGGCTTGTAGTAGAGCGATGAAGGAGGCACATTTTTCTGTGGAGTGTTGTCGGCCGAGCTTAGCATCTTGCTCAAGTCGCCTGTACTGCCGGGTTTGGACCTGTGTCATTCAAGATGGGACAAGTGATTAGATTTTTTTTGCAAGGGTTTTGTCGTTTATTTTAGTAGCTTGGCAATTAAATAAAATTCATGAAAAAACATCTCAACCTCTCAAGATTTATGATAAATTCTAAAGATATAGATGCAACTGCAATGCTATACTGCTACGGATGAGTAATAATCTTATATTTAATTTTATTCAAATGGCAAAGAAATACTTAGAAAAATTTCTAAATTATATCAAATAAAAAGAAAAATTTCCAATTGAGGTAATTAAAATCTTCTAAATTCATTTAAATGAAAAAAAATATGATTGCGGCAATTTTTTTTACCTGTCTTGCGACATTTTGGAGTAAAACCTTGCTCGTTTGGTATGAGACCTACTGCGATGCTGGTCGTCCTCTGAGCTGCTGGACACTGTGAAAAAGTCGTGGGGGATCAGAACGAGGACGTCGGTGTCGTCAGTCTCGCTCATCGCAGCTGCGCGCCTGCAGCATCTAGGGACACGAAAGATGCAGTCAGACGTGTGGACATTGACCCATTTCCTATTCCTTCTAGTGCATTCGTCCTATTTTTAGAAATCAGGGAGTGGTGTGTTTTTCGAGTGCATTCTGGCGATATAAAAGTGGACCAAAGCCAAAATAATATTATGCGTGCTTCCTGCTTTAAGGCACGTACGCAGGATTTTTGTCTTGTCGAACGGGGAAAATCAGGGGTTGAAAAGGATGCGTGCAAAAAGGCGAAATGCACTGCAGCGATCGGAAAAGTTAGCGAATGATCACAGAAAACAAACAATTTCTCTCCGTTCTAAACAATATAATGAAAACTCACATTCCCTGTGGTGCTTGCGGGCGGTATCGATTAAATAAGTGGCTTCGAAAGGCCCAATAAAATCAGAGAAATGCTAATAATTTTGTTTACGTTTTTCACGCCCCAGTGGCTACTCCCCCTTGTTATGCCAGGGCAGACGACGTCATTGGCGCTATAGTGGAGGCAAAAGAAAAAGTGGAGAGGAGAGGAGCCGATCGACTGAGCAAGGAAGCTCACGTCAGGATGAGTTCCATTGATCAAAAAAGCGTTTATCAAACATTGAAGAATATCCTTTTGCCAGCTTTTTGTTCCAATCATATGTGCTATGTGGCCTATGTGCATGTTGTGTTGACAAAGTTCACAAGTTGCAAAGGTGCGTCATGGTCACGTTTCGTTTTCATATTGATAATCTTTATTATTTCTCTGTTGCCAGACAATACAAATTTAAACAAAAAAATTAAAATGACATTGAGACGGACGAGAGGAGGTAATGTGAAGCGTACTTAAAAGTTAGGTATGTATTTAAAATAATAGACCAGTTCAGTGTACTTAGCTATTATGTTCTACACCATTGAAAAAAATTTTATGGATACAAATTAACAAATTAATATCAAAACATTATGTTGAAAAAGCTCAGATATCAAATTACTTAAGTATAATTTTTCATTTACTAATTTTTTATTATATTTTGATGTACATATATTAGTATTTCTTTTACACAGACAAAATTATTTATTAAAAATTGCATATACTCTGTAGTTTTTTATTAATTTTAATAATTTGAGGTAATAACAAATAAATTTGTTATGATGATATATAATTTTTTAACTTTTATAGGCTATCTCCAACTCTCACTGGGCTAGATGGAAAGTCCTAGCGAGGATCGAGAGACATTGCTGGCGTCGCTGCGACGTAGGACAAGCGCCCTTCTTACACCTTGGAGTCGGCAGAGAAGTCTCTTGGCTGGCGGTCTCGTGCTGTCCACCCTCTTCTTGGAACGCCTCGCCTTCTACTCGGTGCTCAGCAACCTGTACATCTTCCTGACTAACGAGGGTCGTACCGCCTGGAGCTCGGACGAGGCCCTTTCGGCCACCTTGCTATTGACAGGTCTGGCCTATTTTTCAGCCCTTCCTGCAGGGTGGTTAGCGGACGCCGTAGTTGGCCGCTACTGGACCATCACAGGCGGTCTCTGTTTGTACGTATTGGCCTACGGCAGCCTGACCGCTCTAGCCTTTGATGGCCTCGCCTCAGTGGGCTGCAGCAAAGACTTGGACGGTCCTTGGTGTTCGTTCTACATCTACTCAACAATTACCGCCATTGGGCTTGCTGTGGGCACCATCAAAGCCAATGTGCCTGCTTTTGGCGCAGAACAGGTGAATTTGAAAAAGCGGAAAAAAGGAACCGTCTATAGGGAAATGATTATTCGCTAGAAAAAATTAAGATTTTTATTAAAAATGGAAAAGCTTTTTGCATTGTTATAATGCGTTTTTCAAACTAAGGTTTAAAAAAAAGATTTGAATTAACTTTTCTAACTTTTTATTATACTTTTTTAGATGCGCCAGGGTGGCTCCTTACGAGTTTTCTTCAACTGGTATTACTGGTGCATAAACGGTGGAGCCCTTCTTGGAGTTGGCGGCATGGCGTATTGGGAACAGGCGTCCACCAGAGGATTTCCACCAGCCTTTGCTGTGGCTACCGGCATCCTTGTGCTTGCCCTCTTGCTAATGCTCTTTGGAAAGAGGTACTTTGTGGTTCATCGACCTTCAGAGACCTCGGTCCTTGGAAGCCTCTTGCACATGGTCAAGGAGGGCCTGACAGGAAGAATTGCAGCTGGTCGAATCGCCATTGGCTGCATTCAGAGGTAGAATTTTATAAAAAAAAAAAAATGTATTCTGTTAATGAAAGGCTAAAAAATTGTAGCTCGCCAATTTTGAACTCTCCAGCAGACGAAGAGGTGTACGAGTCTTTGGGGTCCCCAACAAGCTCTGTTGAAACAGTACCTGAGTGGCTAGATTTTGCAAAAATTCGCTATGGTGGAAGTCACAGCGACGAGGCAGTTGATGAGGCCAAAAAATTGGGACCAGTTTTGCTACTACTAATACTGATGGTGCCCTATTGGCTCATATTTTTACAATCAAATTCTGGTTTCCAAGCCCAAGCTGTACACCTGAAAGTTGATTTAGGAACATTTTTGGTATGTTTCTCTGACGTGCTTTATAAAATAATTTCACCAGAAAAATCTTTTCAGTTTCCAACAGCGTGGCTTGGTTTAGTGGACCAGCTGTTTGTCCTGACTTTGATTCCTCTTGTAAACGGAGCCCTGATTCCGCTTTTGGAGAGACAGGGTCTCAGAATATCACTTGCTACCAGAATTGCGATTGGAATGGTTTTTGCTTCATTAGCAATGTTTGCTGCTGGGGGACTAGAAACCGCATCTATCAGCACTTGGAAGAATGGGTATGCTAATGCTATTAAAAATTACTCTGATTTTTATTTATTAAATTTGATAATATATTCTTTGTATTTAGTGAATATGTGACACAGACAATTGGTCATGCAACCTACAATGCAAGCACAGTATCAATTTTGTGGCAGGCACCCCAGTACTGCTTATTGGGCACATCTGAAGTGTTTGCCACTATTGGTGGACTAGAATTTGCCCACTCTCTGGCTCCACGAGCACTTCAAGGTCTAGTAATGGGCCTGCTTTCGGCCTTCGAAGGCATGGCCTCATTTTTGGGCATTGGACTCTTGGCTGTTTTGACTCCTATTTGGATTCAGCCAGATGCGACCCACTTTGAAGGCCATTATGATTTTTATTTCTTCCTTCTGGCAGCTGTTCAGGTTACTACCATAGTTACTTGTTCTTTGGCCGTCTGCATTCGGAGACGAGCCAGAAGACGAACTCGAAGACGTCAGTTGCCTGATGAACCAATGTTGAGCTAATTTCTGTGATCCCCAGAATATTAACATCATTCTGACTTGTGCCAAATATTATTCAAGAATCAAGTTATTTATAACTGATATAATTTACTACTTGATCTACAATTATCAGACTTGAATTAGTATTATTTCATTAATAAGCCATGCTACCCATGGTAATAAAAGACGTTAAAGTTAGACAAAATATTTGCTTCTAATTGAAAATTTCTACCTTTTTTCTATTTTTCCTGCCGAAAAACCTGAAAAATATATTTTTTTATTGAAACAGGGTGATATCTTAACAATGAGCTGCTCATCAGTTTATTTTACATAGGATAATTTGCAAAATCTACAATTGTAAGCTGCCATAAACAGCAATACTACTTATATCGTAATTGTAGACAGAGATCTCGTAACATCTAAGCGATATAACTCCGAGAGTACAAAAAATGGTAAATGCAGCAAATACATATATGTTAACTAATGAAAAATGGTTTATTTATTTAATCTTCTTTTTCATTTTTCTGCTTTAACAACCGGAGACCCTGCGGCTAGTTCATCACCTTCCCTTCTCACAGACTTCATATATTCTTTAACGTCATCCTCAAATTTGATGATGTTCTGCGAAGGGTTTGATCCAGGCTCGCGGTGCTCAACAAGGTGGTGCATTTTAGCAGCAATGTCATTCAATAATACCTAAAAAAATTATCAGAAAGAAATAAAGAATGCAAACAAATTTGCATATTTCGCACCTGTTTGCAATCAACACACCAAAGACGAGCATGGAATTCTCTAACATGCTCCTCCATTCCTTTCAAAGTCTTTTTCTTCTCAGGGCATGGGGGACAGGGGCACACATATTGTCGCCGCACGCCAGGTAGCAGGGCTGGCGAGGTAGCTGCTTCTGCTGCTGCTTGCGCTTCAGTCTTCACGTGTGGGTGTGCCTTCATTGTCACCTCCTTGACGTCATCTGCTCTTCCAATCTCTCGCACAACTTTGCACTTTTTTTCATTGAAAACAGCAAACCTGGGTGAGAGGTCGCTGTGCATGGTTTTGCAGTGCTCGATCATGCTCTGTTCACTGTCCGAGTCAAACTTCTGGCAGTGCAAACAGTAGCACCACACTTGTTTGTAACCAAGCAGTTTCTTCTCTACATCGCAGCCCACGGAAGGGTCAGAGCCCACATGTGCATGTTGCAGAAGAATGTGGTCAAAAACTTCTTCTTGACTGTCGGAGCGCCATGCGCAGATTTTGCACTTGTAGATCTGAAATTACAATAATATTTATTATGTTAATTATCTATATCTAATAAGAGGAAAACGGGCTTCATCCCCGTTTTTTTTTTTTTTTTTTAACAAATGGCACTACCAGATTTGGTTACGGTCTGCGACCCTTTTTCATAAGGAAATTTGCTGCTTGCCGACTAATGTTTATTTCAAAAATATGTAACAATTACCTTGAAAGTGATGTTGACATACTGAGGGTGGCTTTCTATGAAGTGTGCGTCCATGTTTTTCTGCAATGAGAACACCATGTTGCAGTGGATGCATTTCTTCCCTGCTTTCACATGGGTATAGGAGAACTTGTGACCAGTTTCCTTGTGGGTTTCTTCCCAGTGTTTGAGCAACTTTTTCAGTTTGTCCTCTGTTACGTTTTTACAGTAGTTGCAAGTGTAGAGCAATGGTACTTTTTTAGCTTGTTGATCAAGCGAGGAAGTTGAGGGTACTGGAGAAGGCGCCGAAGGTGCCGGCGATGTACAGGGTGTGATTGAAGTCAAAATGGCAGGAGACGGAGCAAGTGGCGTTTCTACAACAGGAGAGACCTGTGGCAGTGGCACCGATGGCACAAGGACAAGTGTTGCAGGTTGGACAGAGTTTATTGCTTGGGTGGAGGGCAGCTTGATTTTGGTGGAGTCGTCAAGCTTGCGTACTTTGCTTGGACGCCCTCCCTGAAGGATTTGCTGAACATCCACTTGCTTGTTGGGGTGCTTCTGTTGGGAATGGTTTCTTACGTCTGCAGAATGCTCACTTTCAAAGTTGTTACAAATTCCACACCTAAGCAAATTTAAATTACTTATTAGAAAAATTTCTTAAACAGAGCAGATGATTTTTTTCTTATTGTGAAAGGAACTTACCCATACGTAAATTTGTGGGTAACAGAGTGTCTCTTGAGTGCAGCAGCGTACAATGTCCGGAAGTCACAGTGCCTGCAGTCAAATTGAACACTCTGTGCCGGTTGCTCTAATTGGAGCTGCTCTGATTCTCGCATCTTCCAGCCGTCTTTAGCTAGGTAGATTCCGTAGTTATCACTCCAGAAGCGTTCGTCAAATGTTATCTTTTCCCAGTCCGGATTTTCCACGGCTTTTGGTTCATTTGTTGGGTGCTTTTTCATACTGTGTTTGTTGATGATGTTCACAGAGTTGGCACTCACCGCACAATAGGCACAGACGAATCTATGAACAATATGATTTTGGGATGCACCTCAAAAAAAAAAAAAAAAAAAAATTTAAAAATTACTTTCCGCTCTTGAAGTGAAACAGTCTAATGTGCATCATCAGTGCCATCAGCGTTTTAAATGACTCCATGCAATGTTTGCAGACGTTGCTGCCCACTAGGAAAAACCCATGTTATCAAACCAGGAAATTGTTATTATCATTGACCTATCACCTTTTTGCATGCTCTTTTTCCTCACACTTGGTGTGTCGTGATACACTTTGACTGGACTACCACTGGTCGATGGTTCAGACTCGCTCTCACTGAAATCCTAGTATGAAATTCATTTTAAGGTAAGCCAGAATACTTATCAGACTATTACCATAATAACATCGTCAGCGAATGCATAGGCTTCCCTAATACCCGGCTTAGGTTGTTCGGGCTGCAAGGAGATACTGTCTACAATAACAGGTTCAAAAGTTTCCACAGGCATTTTATCGCTTTGATATTGAAGTACTTCTTTGACCTGAAAAATAATACCATTAAATACATCTATATTCAAAAATATAAATTCAGAAAATACTTACCAAGTCTTCCAGCTCTTGTCTTCCGTCATTAACCAAGATGTGTTTTGAAAGGTCAGCATCAATATGGTGAATTTTCTGCAAATGTGTCTGCATCGACAACTTTGAAACCACACTAATATTGCATTCCGAGCATGTGAACCTGATATATAAAAAAATTAAATTTACAAAATTAACAATTCCTAACTCAAAGTTACTTCTTGTACTGAAAGTGTTTATATATGTGCTCCTCCATTTTTGATTTCTGCCTGTTTTTGTAAGACGTGCATTGAGGGCACACATAAAACAAACCATCAGGCTCAGGGAATGGCTTGGAAAGGCCCATAATATCTTCTAGTTTCTGGCCGGAACCTTTCACAGGTGTGCGTTTTTTCTCTGCTGGTGTCTTCTTCTCTTTGCCACCAACTTCTTCAATTCGAATCATTCTGATGTGCCTTACAGTCTCAGAATCGGCAGGCGTTAAGGTTGAAACTCCAGTAGACACTCGTGGGTCGTGGTAGCCTATGGGATAAAAGGCAGCTATGGCGTGGACAATCTTACCAGGGTGTTCCTTGGGAAAGTGGTTTTCAAATATGTGAGGAAGAGCAGGTGCGCGGTAGCTGCAAAGGCTGCAGCGAAACTGGTAATTAATCTGAAAAATATAATAAAATAATAATGATTAAATATTTGATAGCTTCCTACAGTAATTTACATTATGAACAGAAGAGCAGTGACTCTTAATGTCTTCCAGGCTGAATCGCGTCTGTTTGCACTCAGAGCAACACCAAGTGGCCCCTTCTTCATCCAATGTTTCTTCTCTGATCACCTGGAACGAGTTTTCAATCTCGTGTTCTTCGTTGGTATGCTTGCTGATTTCATCCTTGCAAGTGTCCACATGTTTGCAGATAAGACACACAAACAAGTTAGGGCCATGCTGCTTCATGTGTTGAACGCTCTTCTTGATCAACGTCAAATCAGGCTGCTCCAGTTGCCAGTCTTGTGACGGACAGTGAACACACAAAAATTCTTCTGTGTCTGGGTGCAAATTTTCCAAATGCATGGCTAGCATCTCCACATCAGAACACTTGTAAGAGCAGTTTGGGACGCCACAAGCATATCTGCAAGTAAACAATTTATATATAAAAGTTATGCTTAATTTTAGTGGACACACAAACCTCCACATCTCAACAATGTATCTAGGAAGTTTGCTAACAACTTCAGCTGGCAATTCTTGACTAGATCTTCTCACAGGAATAAGTGGAGTTCCGTCTGACGAGACATGAGAGCTCTGAGCCCAGTTGTTCATTTTGTCAAAGTGTTTCTCGTTTGCTTTCAGACAAGGCATGGGATTTATTGGGATGGAAGCAGAGCTTGCTTGATCTCCCTTTTCTTCGTGTTCTCTGATGTGCCGTAGGAAGTTTATTTTCACCCTTGTTTTGAATGTACAAATAGAACACTGCACATGGTCCTAGGATTAATTTCAATAGAAAATTGCTGTCAATGAAATTAAATACGATAAATACTTGAAATATAGGAGTTGATGGAAGTTCTTTTTCATCCCCTGGACCATATCTTTTAATTGAGCCAGGCTTGTTGGCAGGCTTTGCTATTGGTGCAATCTTCGGCAACACTGTAAACTGATCCTCATCCTGGTCTGTTTTATACGGGTCGTTGGCCTTAACAATGACTTGGTAAACACTATGCGACTGCTTGAGATGCTTCTTGACAATATTAATGTTTGCGCTCTTGAACTCAGTACAGACACCACAAGTGTACCTCAATGGTCCATGAACTATTTTCAGATGTTCGACTAATGGTGAGACCTAACAAAAAATACTTCTTGGTAAAAAAAATTAGAGTCTATAGATGCTTTTTGTACCTGTTTGAAAGGTTTCTTGCAGTGAAAGCAGAGCAAAATTGTGCAGTCACACATGATAAGATGATCATTCAGCTGCGAGCTTTTCTCGCTTGTAAAATCACAACCTGGTTTGCAGCAGATATAAAGACGATGACCCGATAAATTGGTCACTCTCGACTCCCCTTCATCATTTTCGTAAGGTCGATCGCTGCCTACAGTTCTAGAAAAAGTTGAAAGAGGAAGAGTGACTGGTGGCGGTGCAACAGGAGCATCAGAGTCTTTCAGTCTTGAAATTGTAGCAGATAAAGTGGGAAACGAGCTTGCCACATGAGTAGGAGTGGCAGCCAAGTTGGTGCCTGAAGTACTTGGAAGTTCCTTCCATGGGTTCAAAGGTGATTGAGTGCTTGCTGTTGTCTCGATTACATTTTGCAGGCGAGAGAATGGTGTTGCTGCAGATGCAAGGGTTTTTTCAATTGCGCTCAAAGTTCGGGAAAAAACTGGCTTTGGAGCACTCAATCTTAAGGATTCAGAAGACTTTGATGCAAGATCCTCATCATCAGATTCACTCTCTTCAGATTCCACTGGTGGTTGATAGACTGAGGTCACCGTTTTTATTTCCATCCTTCTCAGCGCACCCGCAAGAAGATTCTTTTCAGTTTTTGAGCCCTAAAAGATTTTTTCTTATAATTTTTTGTTATTAAATTTTTTTTATAGAAGTTTATACCAATAAATGTCGAACGGCATAGCAGGGAGCATGATTGGCATGCTTGCACATGTGGTTGTAGATCAATCTCTGTTCATCAGATCCATACTTGCAAAGTAAACAGTGGAATTCACAGTAGATGTGGTCTTTGTAGTGCTAAAAATATTCATTTTGAAAAATTTCATCAAGAATTACAACAGAAAATTACCTCGATGAGATCGACAATGCTGGAACTACTCGCATTGCATTCGTGGCAAAGGAACTCTTTCATATTAGGGTGATTGATAGCAAAGTGATCCATGAATTCATCAGTCTTATAAAAAGTAATTCCACAACCACCTATATAGGATGCAATGAAAATAATTAAATATAATGCTCAATTAGATTAATAAATACTCTCTTACTATCTGAGCAAATGAAGGGCAAGATGAATTTTCCAATTACTCCTACAAATGGTGGTTGGTCTACTTTTGGCTGCTCTTTTTGGCACACATATGTTTTGGGCCCTTCTTCTGGAGAATGAGCTATCTTTTGATGGAAAAAGACATGGCTGTCAGTGGCTGCTCTGAAGAAACACAACGAGCACTGGAAGACAAACTTGTTGTGCTCTTTGTGAATGTGGTCAATCAACTGCTGGCCAGAGCCGTAGAGTTCCATGCAGTATACACACTCTTGCCAGTCTTTGATTCTACCAACTGTCAAAATAAAAAATTAAAATTTTAAAATAAAAGTTTAGCAAAAAATATTTACCTGACAGAGATTTGTGTTTGTCAATGTGTTTGATGAACTTTTCAGGGATGACGCTGCTAAATGAACAATTTCTGGCCATGCACTTGTACATTTTCTGCAGCCTGCCAGGCTCAAGCATGCTTGCATATACTGCGCTGTTTTTTACTGTTCGAGCGTGTTGAAATGCTTTTGGTTGCTCATCTGAAGAAATGTCCTGGAAAATTAAATAAAAATAAGACATTAGTTGAAAATATGATATGTAATTTTGTATTGATTACAACTCAGCGTAGCGTTTGAAATGATAAAGAAATAGATGAGATATTATAATGAGTGCAGTATATTTTTTGTTAAAAATCCTAACAAACTTTATTAAAAAAAAGAAAAAAATCACAAGAAAATATGGAAACAAAAACGTGCATTTATTACAAAGTAGTGATTTAAAGTTTACAAGAAGAAGCCATGTAGATAAAAATCCATAGCCAAAGGCAACAAAAGTGAATAAGTAGCATAGTCTAGGAGCTGATGATAATTGGGAGATGAAGACTCACCACATAATCTGAAACAGCTTTCTTTGCAGCATCAGAGGCTAAATTAGGGGACAATTTTTTTAATTCACACTTTTCCGTTTTTAAGAAAAATTACCGTTGTCCAGAGATTCTATTGATTTGAGATTTCTTCCTGATGGCATCGGCTTCCAGAAATCCAGAAGGGCATCTCGCACACTCATCGGAACATGTTCTTCAATCATATGCCTGATGGCCTTATCAGTTCCCGATAAAGGTCTTGAGCAGTCAGGACAGTTGCCTCGCTTTTCTGGCGGATGCGTGTCTTTCATGTGGCGGAAGAGGTTGTTGATGTCGTGACCTTCAGTGTGGCCGCAAGCATAACAAATGCCAACAATCATTTTATTGCGCTTTCGATTTTCGTGCAGCTTTGCATTTTGGGGAGATTCAATGACATCAAGTTCGATATACTCTAGAGGTGGCTCGGGTGTAACTTCACGAATAGGTCGCGGCGTTGATGAAAGAGGGATTCGCGCAATCTCAATCTTCTTGACCTCAGATTCCTCTCCTATTTTTGTTTTTGATCGACGTATTGATTCCAGAAATGATTTTCCAGTCAATTGATTTTTAGGCTGATCGTGAATGAGGTCATCAAGCATTGTCATGAAATTGTGGTCCTCTACTGGCTCTTCTTTTTCTTCATTTTTTTCATTTTCACCCTAATAGAATAATAATTTCAAAACCTATCCATATTGAATTATCTACTCTTCTAATAATATAAATGATTTAAGTTTTTTTAGTAGAAACGGTAGACAGATTAATTTGACTTTCCAAGCACTTCTTCAATAGTGATAGTCATTGATTTGCAATACCAATACAAATACCATCGTTTTTTTATTATCAAATTTACCAATCAAATAAATAATAAATTCAAAACCACACTCTTGTTATTAAATGTTAATCAATTTTCCAATATTATGGGTTTGCAAGTTCTGCACGACGGAGAATGCCTTATATATTATGATACTTATTTATAAGAAGCAAAAGTTGGACTTTTCATAATTACCTCAATTTCCACAAGCTCCATCTTTTCTGGTAGCGACGGTGCTTCTTCCAGCTCATCTTCTTGGCTCTCAACTCTGGACATGTTGATTTCATTGGACTCATCCATGCCTGGCCTGCAAACAGCGTCCACCTCATGCCGGTGCCTCAGTTCAATGTGTTGTGTGACTGTGGCCTCGCTCAGCTGAACAAAATTGCAAAAGCCGCAAAGGTACCCAGTGACGCAGTTCTTTTCAATAATTCCTTGCATGTCAATCTGACTCACAGCCTGTTTGTCAGTGCGGTGCTGCTTACGGGTGTGGTAAATAATTGCATCTTTTTTGGGTCGTTTAAAAGGGCAGACTGCACATTTCAGCCGGTACTCGCCAGTGTGCTCTGTTACATGATCATAGAACTCAGTCAATTTTGTGCTGTTGTACTTGCAAAATCGACACTGCAGCACTGGTGACTTGCAATTATTGGGTTGAAGAACTGCTTGAATGGCCTCGTTGTTTGGCAATCTTGAAATGAGCACTTCACTGTCCGGATGAACAGTAATATAGTGATCGACAATTTTCTTTCCTTCATACATGCAAATTTTGCAGGGGAGAATTTCGAGAGGCTTCCAGGTGTAGCTAGCGTCTGTCAGATTGGCGTCTTCTCGGGGAGCATAGCCTTCCATAATGTTTCGACGCCCTTTGCCTCCGCGACCACGGCCGCGTCCTCGTCTGCCTGAAGGTGAGCCTCGCTGGGCTGTAGGAAAATCGGGAAAGCATCCAGAGACAGAGCTGTCTTCCGAGGCCAGGGATGTGAGATCAGAATCAGTTTCATCTACCAAAGCAGTCTCTGTGCACGAGGATGAAGGTCTACTTGCCTGACTGGAAAATAAACAGACGGACAACGGACATGAAATTTTATAGTTTGAATATTGAGATAGGAATTAATTTAATTCTAAAATCAGATTTATAATTATATCTCCTTAAATAATTAATATAAATGACAAAAACTTTGAATTATTTAATAAATTATTCCTTACCCAAAAGCTTTTCCTCTCTTAGCAACAGCTTTTCTGATTGGAGCAGTCCTTCCTTCTTCGGAAAATTTTGACACTATTTCCATTTCAAATGAGGCAGAATTTTCTTCCTCGCAAGATTTAGAGAGTCTTTCTAATCTAACCACCAAATTCTTTGAGCCCAACGCAACTAGGGCATTTTCAGAGTCATGATCCATTTCTTTGATCTCAGCAGGCATTTGCTCTTCACGCGCCGCCTCCTTTTCCTTTGCTAATGGAGCAGAATAACGCATCACTGGGTGTCTTGTTCTTGCCCCAGTTGCACTCATGACACCTTCACTGATGAAGCTGTCCCGCAGATCGTCTTGCAGTTTGTCGAGCTCGCTTTTCTTGTGAGCTTTCTGCTTACGGACTTCATTCTCGACCGCTGTTTTCAGATCAAAGTTTTCATTTTTGGATGAATCCACTGGTTTTTGGACCTCTGGACTTCCTACATCAGCTGGTATTGGAATTGGAGGTGTGACGGTCTTAGGAACTTCAGCCTTTTCTTTGGCAGGGGGGATGGTTGGAGACTCACTTGCCGAATTGTCTGCTAGGGGTGTAATTGATGAGCTATCGGAGGTGTCCATAATTTCTGGTTGTGCAGTGCTTGGAGTTGATTCTGCCAAAGGCACTGACACAGTAGCTTTGATTTTGTTTAGTTCTTCTTGGACGACACTTCTGATGATCTGCTCCAAATGACTCTTGTTTAAGCCGACAAAGTTCGTTAATGAGGATTCTGCACTGCTGTTGGTGTTTGTTTGTGCCTGCACCATGGATCGAATGTGTTCTTTGATCTCAATTATTTTATCACTCGAACCAGTCCCAACAGCTGGCATCTCTTCTGCAGGCTTTACCTTTAGAGGAATATTGTCTCTTTTAACTACCTCATCCAGAGAATTGTCCGAGTCATCTCTGGGTGGTGTACCTGGACTGACAGAATTGTTTTCATCATCAGAGCCTATGTCAGGTGGTGGTGGACTTGCAGATCTTTTCCTTTGGGGAGGAGCCTGTTGTTTTGCACGCTGAGCTGTGGGCTTTTTCGGAATTCGAAAAATATTCTTTGAGGGTTGAGGCATTTCTCCATATAAAGAATTGAGAGGAGATGTTTTTTCCAACGACTTGTCCACATTCTTTTCTTTTGAACAAGAAGCACCAGAATCAGAGTCTGTTGATGACCTTCTGTCCTCGCTAGCTCTCCTTGGGATCTTCTTTATTTCGCTTGCAGGTGCAGGCAAAGGGTCTATCACTTGCACACGACTGGTTGGTTTTGCAAGACTGCGGACTTTCACGAGTTCAGTTTTGCGCTGCAAGAGCCGTTCTTGGTTGCTGCGATCCTCTTGGCGCTGGGCTGCCTCCTTTCGACGCTTCTCATCCAGCTCTAACCTCTTTTTTTCTGCGAGTGACATCTGTAAAACAATGATTTGCAAATAAGCTAGAAAATACTTTTGAGGAAATTTGTTTAAAAGAAACAAAAATTACATAATTAAATTCCCATAAAACGGGCATCAATCATTTATTTTTATTTTTAACCCATGATTAATTTTAAAAAGATGACAAGTTAAAATTTTTTAGCTTTATATCCTGGTCAACGTCCCCGTGGATGTTAAATGTAAAAAAAAAAATAAAAAAATTGAATGAAGTAATAATTAAAAGAAAAAAAATACACACCTCTTCTCTCCGTTGCTTGTTCCTTTCCTCTCTCATTCTTCTCTCTTCTTCAGCTTTCATGGCTTTATGTTCCCTGTAGGTCTTAGGTGGCTGACTCTTGACTATGGCCACTTGCTTACTGTTGTGCGGTCTTTCTTGTGTCCGCGGGTCTCTAATATTTCTACAATTTTGCTGCTGCTGCGGTGGATGAGATATCCTTTGCCTGGGGTCCCGTGAACCAACATCCCTAGGCTGAGGAGGTTGAGTCCTTTGAGGAGGTGCAAACAAGGGCTGCTGAGGAGGAACAAAGTCTGACAGAGTAATGGGTGGCCGAGCTGCAGTAGCTGGAGGAGAAAGTGTTGCATTTGGGGACTCGGGGCCCGATCTGGGTTGTGGTGGGCAAATGCTGACTGGCTTGCTTGGTGCGCCAAACTGGTACTTCGGACCAGGTGCTTCCGGACTAAAAAGGTCAACGAGTGTGAAAGCAGGAGATGGAGCTACCCGTACTGAGGATGGTCGAGGGGACGGCATAGGTTTGGTTGTACCCGTCTTACTGGCCATGAGGCTACTGTGGACGCGAGACATCTGTCTGCCTGGAATAAAATCATCTGCCGGATTGGGACTTTCCTGGGTGCTCTTCTCTTGCCTAGCCACCAGCGTAGCATTATCAGCCAATGAGGCAAACTCCTTCATTCCAATGGTAAGTGCTGCTGGTGGTTTAGGAGGTGGAAGTAAAGGTGGAAGCTGTTTGTGTAATGTTTCTTTTGGTGGACTTTTCTTGAAGCTGCCTTCGTCTATCACAAGATCATCATCGTCATCACTGTTCAGTTCAATATCTTCTTGAGGTGGTGATGGCGCCTCAAAATATTCAGCGGGCTCAAAGGAATTGTGAGTCTCTGGCTCCTGATGAGTGTGCATGTCCATATCTCTGCGCATTCCAAATTGGGACACACCCTGGATCAGGTTTGCGATTGGTTGGGGCAGAATTGGAGGGCCAGGAGATGTTCGCACCGAATCGTCGTCTGAACTGGAATCATCCCTCGGCATTGGAAGGCTCAGAATTGAACTCCGTTTTTCAACAGGAATCAATTTTGGAGTTTGCTGGGGAGTGGCCATCTTTTCCAATTCAGGGCTTGGGCTACGGGGGCAACTGTCCAAACTACTCCTAAAATATTTTCAAAATTATTAAAATATTTTAGTTAAAATATTTTTTATTACTGCCTGTTCTGAATACGCTTGACTTCAATGATTTGGCAGTCTTCACCGCTATCACTTTTGGGGGCTAAATTGTTGGTCGTATCCAGTTTCGGACGTCTGCTATCCAACCTCTGTAAAATGCCTTCAGTTCGCTCCAAGAAGGGCATGTGCGGTCTAGAAAAGAGATATTAAAAAACTAATTTAATACATTTGGGATTATAACATGTGAATAGAAAACATACATCTCTTCCTCGTTAGTAATTATATTACGGAGAACTGACAATTTCTTGGCAGCTTCGTGCATCTCTCTATTCTTCTGCTCTCCGATGTTTGTTTCAATAATGGCCAAATACTTTTTACGTAACTCTCGCATTTTCTGGATCCGAGCTTCTGTATCATCTGCTCCTCCATCTCCGTTGTCCATTTTGCCCTGAAAAAAGTATTGTTACTTATAAAGAGGGTCCATATTTTTGTTCAATTAATGTACATGGACAGTAGCATAATTATTCTTGCAAAATGGAATTTATTCTTTCATGCATATCAAATTAAATGATGGAATATTTCAAAATATTATGTAAATAATTTAAAATAAGTTGTGAGAAAAAGTTGTAAAAACTGCCATGTAAAAAATTTGCAGAATAAATATTCAATAATTGAAAATAAAGACAGATTTTCGTTTTTTTTTTTTTTTAAATGCATTTCTTTGAAAATGATTATTAAATTATACAGCCCCAGCCACAAAGGCCTCGTGGTAGGCGCGCAGAGCGACTTTGCGCGGCACTGCCGCGAAGCTTCACGAGTGACGTAACTGGGGAAGGAAAACCCATGCCGCTCCCAGCTGCTCCCATCTAAATGCATTGTTTTGCACTCTTTGCCGCGTTTTCCGGTCAAATATTGTCGATTCAAGGCGGTTTTGAACATAATCTGCAGGTGTCAGACTAGTTCGGAACCTAGGGAAGCTTTGGCAACGAAGAAAAAGCATCTCAAATCAGCTGGAAGCACGAAAAGCCACGAAAATTCGGCCAATATCTCCGTGACGGCGAAGTTGCGGCTCAAAAAAGCAGCGGAAAACTCGGATTTTTTACGTTTTGTGAGTCGATATGTGCTTCAGTGCCGGGATGTCAACAAATTAAGTCGTTTCTGATCATATTTGTGCATGTCCGATTGTTTTTTGTGAGAGAAAAGCGGAAACGAGTTTAGCAACCGGACAAGTTGTCCCACGGAATTAACCAATATCTCGCTCTGATTCAATGTTTTAGAATTTTGGCGATTGAAAAGTTTATATTTATAGAATAATTAAAGCATGAGGAAAATCGCTGTGTTATTTATTTTTTAATCCGAGCAGCCGTTGTCTCGCTATGAGCATAATTACGCGGCGGCCACTGCTTTGTTGCTTCGCTCGGCTCTCTCTCGCTCGAGTCGCCCGACTGCTGCACTCGCGGGTGGAGAGCGGCGCGCTCGATTAATTAGACGTTTGCGCGAATTTTTTATTTTATTAGTAAGCGTTGAGATAAATCGTTCAAATTTTCAGCATTGGTAGCAAACTAACTGAATTAATTTTTTATTTTTTATTCTTAAAAAAATATTTATCTGGAACAAAGTTATTAATGTTTCCGCGAGAATTTTGTTCTTTTAATTTTTAAATTAGACAAAAAATTTTAAAAGTACAAACCCTAACAGAAAATTGTAGCTAATTAAATTCTCTACAATTTACTTTGCATTCGTTTTGTTGTCAAAATTTTTTTAATTTACCAACGGGATGACCAAAGTCAAAACATTACTTTTTCTCATTGAAATAAATTTTTTAGATTTTTTCTGAGATAGCCAATCGATTGGAAATTTAATTTTGATTTAAGAACTAAAATTTCATCACAATATGTTGAGCCGTTTAGAAATCACAAAGTACTAACTGCTCCCTAAAACTGCCGTCGAGGCTGATTAGCAGGTTTTAGTTCAGACGCTCTTATTTCTAAACGGCTCAACATATTGTGATGAAATTTTAGTTCTTAGATCAAAATTAAATTTCCAATCGATTGGCTATCTCAGAAAAAATCTAAAAAATTTATTTCAATGAGAAAAAGTAATGTTTTGACTTTGGTCATCCCGTTGGTAAATTAAAAAAATTTTGACAACAAAACGAATGCAAAGTAAATTGTAGAGAATTTAATTAGCTACAATTTTCTGTTAGGGTTTGTACTTTTAAAATTTTTTGTCTAATTTAAAAATTAAAAGAACAAAATTCTCGCGGAAACATTAATAACTTTGTTCCAGATAAATATTTTTTTAAGAATAAAAAATAAAAAATTAATTCAGTTAGTTTGCTACCAATGCTGAAAATTTGAACGATTTATCTCAACGCTTACTAATAAAATAAAAAATTCGCGCAAACGTCTAATTAATCGAGCGCGCCGCTCTCCACCCGCGAGTGCAGCAGTCGGGCGACTCGAGCGAGAGAGAGCCGAGCGAAGCAACAAAGCAGTGGCCGCCGCGTAATTATGCTCATAGCGAGACAACGGCTGCTCGGATTAAAAAATAAATAACACAGCGATTTTCCTCATGCTTTAATTATTCTATAAATATAAACTTTTCAGTCGCCAAAATTCTAAAACATTGAATCAGAGCGAGATATTGGTTAATTCCGTGGGACAACTTGTCCGGTTGCTAAACTCGTTTCCGCTTTTCTCTCACAAAAAACAATCGGACATGCACAAATATGATCAGAAACGACTTAATTTGTTGACATCCCGGCACTGAAGCACATATCGACTCACAAAACGTAAAAAATCCGAGTTTTCCGCTGCTTTTTTGAGCCGCAACTTCGCCGTCACGGAGATATTGGCCGAATTTTCGTGGCTTTTCGTGCTTCCAGCTGATTTGAGATGCTTTTTCTTCGTTGCCAAAGCTTCCCTAGGTTCCGAACTAGTCTGACACCTGCAGATTATGTTCAAAACCGCCTTGAATCGACAATATTTGACCGGAAAACGCGGCAAAGAGTGCAAAACAATGCATTTAGATGGGAGCAGCTGGGAGCGGCATGGGTTTTCCTTCCCCAGTTACGTCACTGGGAAAGCAACAGCAGCGCCAGCAAAACTCGCTCTCCCCCACCACGTCTCCTGCTCATGCGTGGCTGGGTCTGAAATTATACATCTATTTTTATATCTTTATTTCTGACAAACAATACCAAAATACTCCAATCTACAATGACGTAATCAGTGTAACAAACTTATTGCAACATAATTTTAAAAAGAAAGAGCAAGCCCTAAAACATGATTTTAAATATATTAGAAAAATTGCAATTCATAAATTATAAATATGTAAACGCTCTTCTGCGTGCCTCTTTGCCTGTTGTGGTCAAAATTCACTTAATCCAATTTTGGGTAGTTCCAACTTGATAATTTGAAAAACTCATTTTGCAAATATTTTCATTAATTTAATGTTAAAATTTAAATATTTTCTAAAATTATCACGAAATGTAATTAATAAGATAAAAAGAATGACTTTAAGCATTCAATTTGTAACAAATATCTCCACAAACAACAAATGATTTACTTATATTTTGGGATTTGGCAATAATGACTTAACGAATTCGAATCTGGTAGTCTGTGCTGTGGCATGCAATAAAAAATCGGAAATTTATTTTAAATATTACATTACAATAAAGAAAAAAATTGTAATAATTACAGTCTTATAGGTAGCATATATAATTACAAAAAATATTATTTAAATTTCAAGCACGATAATTAATATAAATATTATTGTTGATTTTTTAATCAGAATTATATAATTTTTAAAAGCAGATTATTATTTTTAATATTCAGTTTAGGTTCCTCTTCCTCTTATTGATACAAAGAAATAGCCTCTGAGAATTTTGTGACTCAGCTTTTGCTTGATGAGAGAAACACGCGCACCAGAAGGCAAATGAAAAGGAACACTTTTGTTTCTTTTTTCAAGCCTCTACACAGAGAAATTTATATTAAAATATTTCAATTTTTTATATAGGCCATCAATGTGTAAAACCAGAAATGCAAAGGAAAATATAAAATAAAAAGTTTACTTAGAAAAAGGAGAAACACGTTGATTATGGAAGCCGCACAACGAAGATATAAATTCCAGCCAAACAAGTTAAAACATAAAAAATATCTGGAACATTTGCATTATTTGCACACAAAATGCAGAGAGGAAACTTTTTTGGCATTACTATATATTTAAGTGTCGGCGTTGGCAGGTTAATCGAAAGATGACAGAATATATGAAAGGGGGCGATTGCCCAATTTTTATGAATGTGCTCTGCTGGGAGTTTTTATTTATTTTTTTTTATTATTTTTAAATAAGTGCGTAACTGCGCATTTAATAAAATTTTTGGAACATTTTTTTTCGCAGAGCGACCAGAGCGTTATAATCTCAAAAATAAATAAAAATTGTCTTCAAACATTTTCATACCAATTTCATAAGAATTAAATAAGCCAAATAAATTAAACTGAAACTTAAGAATTCATTATTGCAAAAAAGTTTTGATGTCTTTGGATCGCCAATTTTTTTTATATTTTTTTATATTAGTATTTAAAGCCATATTTGAAAGATTTTAAAAATTTGAGCCAAAAATTTTGAACAGATTTTTTAGCATACAAATTTCCAAAAGACGCTGTGTTTACTAGAAAAATTAGAAGCCATATTTATTTATTACTTTCATAGAAACATCAATCTTCAAGAAAAATTCGCAGTCTAAATTTTCCGGCCGAAAATTGTCAATTAGAAGACGATATTTTGTGATGAAGTTAAATCTGGCATCAACATAATATTTTTGGAAATTTTATCTGCATTGGAAGTAGACTGGGGAAAAATGGCAGGCAAGGTTTGAAACAATTTTTCTTGGCTAGTTCGCTGTAAAATATATACATGTAATTTTTTTTTATAAACTATAAAAAGAATAAGGATATTTTTTTTTTAAATTTACAGCTGTCGTGCTAAAAATGCACTTATACCTTTTTCTATCGCTACGCATACGCACCACGCGCACGAGAACTAATATTAAGATATGGATACCCTACACTTTTTAGGTCCTTATGGAAGCCGAAATTGCAAGAACAAAAAATAGCAATCCATGATCCCGTCAAAAGAATTTCCAGGCACCACCCTTCAAAGATATTTGTGCACTGCTTAAATGCGCAACTCACAGTGAAAGGTTTTCGGCTGAAACTAACTGGCTGCGAATTCTTAGAGGCCGAAAATTTGGGCTAACCACATGAATCCCCGTCGCAACATGTAGCCCCCATACCCTGATCATAACAAATTCAGTAAAATTGAACCTCCCCCTTGCCTTTTTGGAGCTCGGGCGCTGAACCTAACTGACCTGTGAGGCTGCAGTTCGAACGTGAGGAATTCAGGTTTGGGCTAATTTGTTGAAATTTTTCGGACTAAAAACTGAAATTCAGAAATCACCGGAACGAAACTGTTCTCGTTCCGTTGATAAGATGGCTCCGGGACACTTGCCGACTGCTGTTTTTGGTATCAAAAGGCGCCGATCGCGGCGCTCAGGTTCGCATCGCAGCATACTGATTGCGCGCTGGACGACGGCGCATTAGCCATAATGGTTGCCGCAGCCCAATCGAAGATCGCCGCGACCCTGCTGACGCCAAGGCTGACGCATGGAAACAGGGCGGAAAGAGCAGGCCCAGGGGTGTCACCCGAGCAGGCGCCTTCTTCAGCGCCCATCGCACATCCAGAAGAAGAAAAGTTGTAGCGAGCCATACCAGGTCATTATAGCAGAGAGGTACGTTATTCAATTTTTTGCATTTATATGAATTTGAAGTTTCGTTTTATATTGAGAATTGTTCTGAATCTTTTATAGATTTTTGTATGTGTAGTATTTTTTTCATAGTGGTTAGTGAAGCAAGAACAGAATCAGCGTCAATCATTTAAAATAATATGTTGCGAATTACGAATCAAGATCCAAATATAGCACGCAAGAAGTAACAAAATAATATTATAGGAGTTCGTCAAAACACTGTAAACATTGAAGTAAAATATGTGTGCTAATTTTTCTCGGGCGTGGATAAAAATGAATACATAATGCATTTGAATTCATGCATTTTATATAAATAATATTTAAATATTTTACTTTTCCTTTCACACAAAGATAACTTTTTAAATTTTGCATCTCAGAATGGCTGCTAAATTATATTTTGATGCAAAGGAAAATCTATAAAATAAACTCTCAGCCGCCGCCCCTCTGTAATACACGCCCTATTTTGGAAATGTGCCACTTCAAAAGCTATAGCTATAACTAGATAATATTGTTTTTTGTTCCCAGCTGTTAGTGCTGTTTCAATTATTTTTCCCCCATATCAAAGACTGAACTGTTATTTTATATTACAAAATATGGTGGCTGTTAACGAAAACTTGCTAGTATTTTAACTATTTTATTTGCGTACTGTGTGTATTTGAAGAGTTGCGCTTCACATTTTATGCCACCTTCATTTTGATATCTTTAAATTTAGAATATTATCAAATATAATTTGAAATCTTCGTGTTGTTGCAGAAACCCATCAACCCAAGGAAATTATTAACGAGGGATGCAATATGGATCATGGTGAAGTTGAATAGATGAGGGTCTGTCAAATCAATAACTGTGAAAGCCCTGCTTCTGAAATATTGATTTATTTTATAAAAATATTTTTACAATAAAATGATATTCGCTGTCTTATTTGAAAATTGTCACAAAAACTGATTTTTTTTAACATGCAAGCAATGCAAAATGCAACAATGTAAAAGAGACTATGGTCATGCTATTTTTTTTTTTAATGTTAATTAAGGCTGCTCTGCTACGGTCTCGGTTTTCATGAGCATCGCATTGCCTACTTGCAGAAACGTTTTCATTGTCACTAGGTAGTAGCTTAATTGTAAAATCTATTGATTAGCATTCAATAAAAATTTGAATAAAACCGTTATACTTTTTATGTACGCCCACTTTGAAAATAATAATCCACAATGATTCACTTTGATTGCCGACAAAGGGTAAATATATAATAAAAATAATGCATTGTTTGAAAAAAATGTTTATTTGTTTTGAGTTCAAGTCAAACTTGACCTTCTGTAACTGCTACGTTCAATTTTTTGAACAAGAAAAGAAAATAATCCTAAAAATTGAAACAATTTGAGCTTCCACAATAAGGAATCGCTGACAAAAAGTAAATTATGTATACCAGTCTTCTCACCTTCTCTTTATTACTGATTTTCTTTTTTACGGAATGACGTTGGATTTTATTCAGAATGCCAACTGAAGTCAAGAGTTAAGCGCGCACGTCCAGAATAATTTCAAACCTTGGATCAGTTCTCGCTTGGTTGGTTGTTAGGGTTGCCGACTAGCAGACAATTTAGGAGAGGAGGGTTCGTTTGATTCAACTATCGAGTATTCGGCCACAAGTGTTGGCACCAAACTTAAAAATACGGTATGCGAGTAATTTTCTTCCTTCGAATCTTCCTAACGCTAAACGATCATTAATAATAATTAGTCAGCCTCTCTCAGTTGCAATCTGTAGCAGGACAATGATTCCTCTGCTCTTTGTACAAGTCTAAAATTACTCAACAATCTAGCAGACACCCGGCTTGCATTCATTCTTTATCACATTGATGCCTGGCCCAGATTCGGCCTGCTGAATTTTTGCCAGTTTGCTTGCACTTGCTGGATGATAGTTTGTTCCCAACTCGGATATCTACTCAACTTATTTGATAGGTTTAGTTGTGCACTGGGGTGGCAGTCGAGGGCTGCTGCCGGCGCTCCAGCTCCTCCACACTGAATGTATTAGATGTGGGAATGGGCGGCATGACTCCCATCTGACCGGCGCCTGAGAACCACTGAGACAGGTTTGAGCTTCCAGACCCATCAACCTGCTGACCACGTAGAGGACGAGGAACGCCTGCCAGTCAAAGAGTTTTTGATGAGTTGTAACTTATAAAAACTCCTACAAACCATGAGGTTGTTGCTGAGCCATGTTGATCGAGTTGATAGACCTTTGGCCTGACAATAGCTGTTGCAGCAGAATGCTGCTTCCACTATTTTCCATCTGGATGTCTGCAATAAAATTATGTCATTACAAAAAATCAAATGTTTATTTGCGTGCGAACCTCTATTTTGCTGAGGAAAAACGTTCTGCTGATCCATGAAAGCCTGTTGCTGCATGGAATTCTGAGGTCCAATTTTTTGGGCGCCCATCATGCGTTGCTGCATGCCCATCATGTTAGGCTGGGGCACTCGACCCATCTCAGGAGGGAAGTTGTAAGGGGGTTGTTGCTGGCTGCCACTGCCCTTCACTATTGGTCGACCTGAAGAACAGTTGATTAATGATCAATTTTATTAAGTTCATATTTTTACGCACCCTGATGAGGCTTTGGTACAATAGGCTCAATCGGCTTCCAGTTGCTGTGCTGCTCCAATTGCATGTGAGAACGAGCTACTGATTTTGCGTCAGCTCCTAGAAAAGAGCAATTGGTGAAAAGTCAAGCAGTTTCTATAAAACTACTATTACTAACCTCCATCAAAGTCTTTCTCAGCAGTCATTTTGCGGAGGACAGAAGTTGGGGTGAAAGCAAGGGGGGACGACGAAGATGGTTTAACATTGGCAGGAGACATGGCTCTGTAAGTTTACAAATTATATTTATATAACTTTGTAGAAGAATATTTTTTTTACCTCTGCCTCTCCTGTTTGCGATGATAGTTCTCAGACTGCTCTTCCAGCTTTTTCTTCAGCAAAGCATTTTGCATTATCTGGCGAGTGTGCAAGATAAGCTCATGTGGGGATGGAACGCGATGAGGAATTCCTAAAATCAGATTATTTATTTCATAGAGTCTAAATTATATTTTTGCCACAAAAGTGTTTAAAAGTTATTTTTTAACCCAATGATACCAAAATACATAAAATTAAGCCAAGAACACGTAAAATCAACTTTTTACATAGTTCATACCTTTAGAAAGTATAAAAAAACCTGTAAAGATTTCAAAAGTAAATGTATCCCCAATTTTTAAATTAAATTACTAGTAAAAATGTTATTAATTAAAAATATAATAATTGATTATTAATCTGGGTACCTGAGTGCTGCACCGTCAGAGAAGAGCTCTGCATGGGTGGCACAGGACTGGTGCCTAGAACACCTCCCAAGGTTGGACACAAACCTGTAAATCCACCACCATTCTCACCCGCAACCAAGAAAAGCGTTTGCGCAGACATACCTTGATGCATGAGATCGCCACCGTTCATGGGTGAAGTGATTCGCATCTGCTGGTGCATGGGTGGCACATGTGGAGATACAGCTCGAGCCTGTTGCTGTTGCAGGTGCAATTTGAGCACACCTGCTACAGTCTCCCTAATGCGAGGGTTGATGTTCTGACTGTGCAGCTGGTGCACCAAGTTCTGGACAGTAAATTTGCCATGACGAAGGCCGTCCATAATGTTCTGTGCCTCAGGTCTCATCAGCAGTTCATGGTTAGGGTGCACATTGTGCACAAGAGCCTGCACATCAGCAGGAATTGGGGATGTCATGGCTGTGCTGCCAAATATTCCACGGCCAAGCATCTTGTTTTCCTGCTGCTGCCTCTGCGACTGATGGTAGGAAAATTACTAATTGCACATAGATTCATGCATCTTTATTTCGTTTGAGAAATGAAAGTAATTATGTATTTATGAATAAATGAGTCTAAAGGAGGAAATATATCATAAATCTAAAAAAATCAACTAAATCAACTGGCTATTATATCAAAGTCTAGATTACCTGATGCTGGTGCTGTTGTTGCTGTTGAAGTTCAAGCAACTTGAGCAATACGTCCTGAGGGACCGCAGGCATCTGCTGTTGCTGCTGCGGCTGTTGGGGTTGTTGAGGAGGAGGATGCATCTGTTGATGAGGGTGCCCCTGATGTTCAGAATAAGCACCAAACATAGCTAAGAAGAAACATGTTTTAATACTTTCTTTAGTTTACTTTCAAATCTATATCCAACCTGGATCAATGTCCTTGTTGCCCTGTGAAATGATGCGGCCAGAGAGTCGAGAAGCAGGGTTCGGTTTATTAAGGTGCATGTCTTTGCGATCCTGCTGTAGACAAACGAACATTGCTTTTATTTGTCAATCATATCAAATAGACCTTATGCACTAAACATCAAGGCACACAGAAACACACCTTGTTGACATCAGACTGTTCAGCTGGTTCCGGTCCTCCACTCTGCGATGCCTGCATGAACTGTAATTACCAACCACTAAATTATCATGCAAATGCACATAGACCATTTCTTTAAACAAATATTTATGCTACTGACACCATATTGTTACTAATCTTGCAATCTGATGTTAAATTTATTTGCTCACCAGTTTTTGGAATGCCTCTTGATCCTTCTCAGACTGGCGTGGGGCATTTAAGTTGTGCTGCAGCATTTTTGCTTCTAATTCCTCCACACTGTGCAGTCGGCCACTTCTCTCAAGCTCCCTTATCTTTGGGACCTTTTCCTGTTGCTGGCCTCTCTGAAGCATAGCAAGCAGGTTGCTTGACTTGTCGCTATCAGCTGCAGGCCCACTACTTCCAGCAGCTGCTGGAGAAATTGGGGCAAAATAGGCCTCCGAGCCACCAGGCGCAGGGATATTCACTTTAGGCTCATCCAATTCTAGAAGAAGAAAATGAAGAAAAGAAATTATCTCTATAAAAAAAATTTTACCTTTCATGAAACTGCCAATGAACTCATCCTGAATTGATGATCTCCTGTGTTCAGTTGGGCTATCTGGCTTGAAAAAGCGGCTAAACCGTGATCCACCGCCGCCGCCGCCACCACTTTGTTCAGCAGGAGCCTCATTCTGAAATCCAGAGGCCTGAAAGTATTGTTGTTACCATTTTTCAACTTTTTTATTTAAAAACTCTCTTCTTACAAACACTTGGCTGAAGTCATGCATGTCTTGCTTGAGAAATTCCTCAATGTTGAATGACTCCTTCGGCACATCTCGCTGTGGCTGTATATTTTCTTTGCCAACAACTTCCTTTGGCTCCTCTCTCTTTTCAATGACCTTTTCCTCCACCTTCCTCTCCTCGACCTCATCTTTGGGAGCAGCTAAGTGTTAACTTTAAGTTTCATCAAAAAATTTTAATTCCAAATTTTACCAGGAGATTTTGCTTTTGGTGGTGTTCCTTGCTTCTTCTTCTTCTTGCCCTCTCCTTCGTCAAAGCCGTGCAGCTCAATAGTGTCATGTTGAGAAGTAGGGCCGCCTGAGAACCACTCCGGTTCATCGTCCTTATGACTGCGCCGGTCGCCATATCTGGAACCTTGAGCGCCACGTCGCTCCTTGTCATTCCTCTCAAACTCGCGGCCGAACGAGCGGCGTTCAAATCGTTCGTCTCGATCGCGTTCGCGGAGACCTCGGAAAGAGGAGAAGTCATCCTTCTCGCTACTGATGCGGCCGCTGCTACGGTCGTTGAAGTCCCAGCCACGTCCACCACTTCCAGTGCTACTCTCAGATTCCCTTTCGCGGTTCATGATTCTGCCTGAACCAATGCGACGAGAGGGAATTTCCCTAATTGCGTTATCTCTGTGAACAAAAGCAAAACAAAGTGAATGCAAAAAGATGCTCTGTTTAAGGTTTTAGTTGTTTACCAGTGAATCGAGAGGGCATGGGGTGAGAGTTTTAATAACAATAATATTTTTTTGGAAATTTTCATTATTATAAATTATAATCATTAACAAATTAAGAATTTGAATAGGGTATTGCAACAGTAAAAAAACTTCAGTGTTAATGACTGAAATTAAAATTTCAAAAAAGGTAATAGTTTCTTTACCTGCTATCTCCTTTGCCCAGTGGACTCTCAGGCCTCCTGGGGGCATTGGGGGCAACAGCGTTGGCCCCCATGCCGCACCCTGCAGCCAAACCCCCACCAGGTACAAAACACCCAGAGTTGAAGCTGCGCCTCTGTGGGCTGAGCACAATGCCATCTTGCTCCTTGCGAATCCGCTCACGTGGGTCCCCTACCTTTCGAACCTTCTCAGGTCCAAGCACGATGGCGTTGGGGTCATCACTGGGAGGTGGAGAGTCCTGCTTACCTCGCTCCCAGGAGCGGCTGCCCCCGCCGCCCCCACCTTGGCTAGCGGCGGCCGCTTGACCAAAGTCCTTGATACAGCTTAAGTTGGCAATTCGCCTGGAGACAAATAAATCAAAGTGTGAAAAAATCAGAAATAATAAATCTTTTTACTTGTTCCTGCTTGGGTCAAAACAATCGGGTCGTAGGATGGACAAAGGGTGTGCCTTCAAGGCCATCAGTTCATCTCTCGAATACTGAAGCCGAGGCTCCTTTGGTCCCTCACAAACGACCTCCTGCTCTCCCGACAGCTCCTCAATCTCATCATTTTTAGGCGTGCCTGATTGCTCTGTAACATAAAGAATAGATCCATCAATAAAAGATCTACTTCAATTTTTTTTTAACAATTGAATAATATGATTAATGTCATAGATTCATGATTATTTAAATTAATTACTCATTTCATTTGAAGTAAGAATAAAAAGATTTCTGGCAGAAAAATATTTTTAATTCCCATAGTGCAATGCAGTGCTATGATAAAAATAGTTTAAAATAGATGAAACTGATCATTGATTGTACTTGATTGTTGTGGAAACTTAAGTTTCTGAAAAAAATTTAGTTCTGCTTAGTTCTACAAATTGTTCCAATAATTTACAATACATTTTATAGGGTACTTGAGATTTTTTTATTATTTTAAATGTACAATAATTTATTAAATTTACTAGCTTTATTTAACATGTAAAGAAAGTGCTGTAAAAAATTATAAGAAATGAAAATGTTATCTTCCTAAACCTGAAGATTTTTTTTTAACATGGCTCATAATTTTTGCTCGACTTTGGCAAGAGACCGACCCAATAGCCTAATAAGCTCATGGGTGCCATAAGCAAAAAAAAATGTATGCTTTTCATATTAACACACTGTCTTTAAAAGTTAGAATAATATGTGATATCATTGAAATCCTCTCCGAATTAATATAAATAAATTAAATTACTCTTGAATTTATTGACTTTCTGTTCCTAAATTATAAAATTACTTTGGGTAATTATAATGATGTATACATATAATATATAAAATCTTTAGCAGACATAATGTTAGCTCTATAAGCATTCCAGCAATTCTATCAGAAATTGAATAAACATAAAAATAATAAAGTTAAATCATAAAAGTTATATTGTCGTTTTCCAACAGATTCATGAGAAATTCGAACGATTTGGAGCAGGCAGACAGCGACAAGGTAGAAATTATTGGTGCTCAATATGAACGCATTCCAACGACCAGCCAACGTTTGAAAAGGGAAAAACGACACTGCAAGCAGAGCGTGAGCAAGCCTGTGCATGTCCGAGTTTGACGCAGGCAGCACATCGCACTGCTGCGTCAGAATTCGTTGGAGCTGCGAATCTGATTTTCAGAAATCAGATGAAGGTGACTTGAGGTCACTGAGAGCCGTTTTATGCAATTCCAAAAATACAAGAGCACTTCTTGGCTGACGTACAAACAAAATATAAAATGTAAAATTGCGTGCATATTTCAAATAATTATGTATTCTACATGAGCAAGCAAAAGTTTGCAGTTATTATGACATGAACTTTGAATCTCAGCATTTTTGTTATTTATGCATTTTAATACAATTGCAATGAATTCCTGTTTGCTGCAAAATTATCTAGTTTTAATTTTTTTAATAAGTTATATTTAAATTATAACGCAGTTGTTTATTTAAAAAAAAAAAAGCTTTTGAAATTAGAATGGATGAAATTAGATTCAAACGGAGAATCCAGAAATAGCTTAAGCAGAAATAACATTATTTATTTTATCTCTCTTCAATGGTGACATTTTTGATACGGATTGAACGAAACAAAATTACTGTGACAAAAAATGACGCTTCAAATAAAAATTTAATATGAAAATTTCTAATATATACATAAAATTCAAAACTTATGTTTAAACACAAATGAACATTAAATAGTGGTAGTAATCAGCAGACTTGGGGAATTTCAGATAAATTCTATCAGTCTTAACTGATATCTGGAGGAATGAGATCCGAAAATGATCATCGTGTGCTCAGGAAGTTCAGGAACGTGTTAGCGAGCGCAGGAATTCGCAAAAAACAGCCCATGTCAGCCAGGCAGGTCAAGTGCGCGTCGCAGGCCGATCGATTCATTTGTCCGGGGTTGGCCCGCGCGACTCTTTCGGGGGCGGCAAACTTACTCGTGCGAGGGTTGCGTCGATTGCGACTGCGACGAGGCCTCGGGGGCTGCTTTGGGGGCTCGTCGGAGGCAGCCCCTGCGGAGACGGCAGGGGTCGTCTCGCGTGGCCCCGCCGCTTTTTTGCACTTGCCGGCGGGCTCCGACTTTTGAGCGTTGCGCGAACGTTTGACCCCGGTGACCACTTTGGTGACCTCCATGTCGCAGATTAGATGGCCGCTGCTGTCCGACAGGAGAGTACTCGAGTGCTCTGCTCGCTTGACTTTAGCTCGCTGCACTCGCTGCAGTTGCAGGCAGCTCGACGACGCAAGAGAAAGAGGAGCAGGGAAGGCAGACGGTGGCGGCGACGGGGCAGGGGGTGCGGGAGGGAGGGCAGGGGCAGACGCTTCGCCTGCTGCCCATTGGCTGGCCAACGCCTGCGCGCCAATTCTGCCGCCCGAAAGGGAAAATTCGCAAACGCCAAACGCGCCATCAGCCCATCAATCACGCCTCAGGGTTTTCCTGCTTCCATTTATTTGGTTTAAAATTATAAAAATGGGAGAAATTTGCACCACGCACCATACTCGAACTTCTTATTGAACCTTTGGGATTATAATTTAATTAAATTTCACAGCTGTCTTTATAATTTCTTTTTCATTTAAAAGTAAAGTGAGTAGAGTGAAAGGTCAATTATTAATATGTCAATCACATATATGTAGCACAACAATTGTCGTTTCATTGGCTCAATTGTATAAAAGCAGCACACATTTTAATTTGAAAATTAAGGATGTACAAATATCAGCATAATTCAAATCAATATAAATTCAGTGTATAATTACACTTCAGCAATCTACAGCTCTACACTATACATAATTCATTTCACTTCAGGTATGGCGTTAATCAGGCGTTAATGGTAAACGTATCACTATCAGTGATTTAAGGCAGACCCGTACTGGCAAAAATTTTTCGGTTTTCGTTTTAGTTGCAAATTGTGTAAATTGTGTTTTATTTTTATTAGCCCCCTTAATTCTGACACATTTGAACAGATTTTTATTTTTGAAAAGGTGAAATTAAAATACAGTGGACTTTTACAGATTTTATTTTAAATTCATATTATAATTGAATAATAAGTCAACTAACAAGGCTCACTTCAGTGGATAGGAACTTTTTGACCTCAGAAGTCTTTTAATATCAATGGATGACTTAAACAGTACACTACTGAAATAAAAATTAATCAAAATGAAAGTCCTCTGCTAATTACATATTACATTTTGGACATGCTTGGTATTTATTGTTAATTCAAAATTTAAAATGCGATTCCAACAAAAAACAAGCTGCTTCCATTTCCGTTAGATATGAAGTGGACCACCAAACAACTCAATAACAAAAAGCTACATTTCCATTTTTGGTCCATCTTATCATCTAATGAGACTTTCTGTTTTCTACGTTAAGGAGAAACCTCTGATAAAAGTCAGGTCCAGCCCTTCCATGATTTTGGCGATTGGCTGAAAAGAGCGAGTCCCCCTTCTAGTAAAGGACTCTCATTGAATCATGCTGTGACTTTTTGAAAAATGTTCACTTAGTTTCCAAGATCGATGAATGGTAATAAGACACAAAAATGTAGGCAAAAGTTTTAAGAAAAAATTTACCTCAATAAATGAATTAAAAAAATTGTATTTTATCACAAAGAAGATGTAAAAATAAATTTTAAGCTTAAGATTAATTAATTGTACAATTATTACAATTTTATAAGATAAAGTGGCTTTCCAATAGATAAAATTTGTGCTACATTCGGCATTACATAAAAAAAACGCACTAATCACTGCAAAATCTCACACAATTAAACTATTTTTCTGATTTATTTAGATTCAATGTAAATTATTAGGGCTTAATTATGAGATATTGATCACCAAGTTTACCATCGTGCGCATTTACGCAACTACATTAAATTTGATGCTGAAGTGTGAAAATTTTTTAATGCAGTCTGCAAGTTCACTTTTTGAGATCAAATTTCTTCCTTTGACAAACGGCGCAAGCGAGGACACTTAGGAGATGCAGCTATCACGTTGAGAGAGCGCTTTCTCGAAACTAATGCAGCTGCCGAATTCTAAAAATAGAGGAGCACCGTGAGACCCTCCTCGCAGAGAAGCGGAATAGGCGCTTATCAATTTCTATGCTAATTATTTGGCTGGATTCAATATAATTCAGAGCCACTTTTTGCGTCTAAAAATCCTTCAACCAGTTCCTTCCTGTTGCCCTTCACTCGCAACATAGGCCTATACTCAGAGGCCTACTTATGTATACGTACAAAACGGCACTAATATTTAAACTTGGTTTCTCAGTTACAATAGTTGAATAACGTAGCGGTGTGTTTTGATATTTGAATAAAAAAAAACTCCGATCCTGTTTTTGTTTTGAGCGAAAATTTTGTCAGTAGTTTTTAAGTGGCGAGATTGGCGAAAACGAGCGAAGTCGGCGCGCGAGAGATCGCTTGTTGGTGACGTCGCAAGAAAAAAAATAACAACAAAATAATATGATATTACCTGGCGATTGATTGTTGTACTCCAATTGCTGATTGCTGACTGTCTCCTCAGACATGATAGCGTGCGTGGCCAAAAAGGTGGCGAAACAAGTTTGAGTAAAACAAGTCTAGTTTAGGTGCGAAAAGTATGTAAAAGCAGTTGGCGAAAGAGCGAGAGAGTTGCTGGTTCGATGCCTTTGTTTACAGTTGCTTATCAATAAGAAAATATCACAGACGGTTCACGATTAAAATACTAGGATCGCGCGCGGCTCGATCGGGCGCGCTCCGGCAATGATCAATCCGCGCGGCGAATTCTACTAAATTACGGCTAAATGTGCTCGCGTGCAAAATAAAAGATTCACTCAGAGAAAATGTCGGCTGTTGTTATGAAAAGGTGCGCGACCTCTTTTGTCAGAGTGGATTCGAAAACATGCCCCGACCGCCGGAAACCGAAGGCCTCGCTCGTTCAGAGCATCAAAGATTCTCAGTGGGCTGCGCACAATGCATAATATGTCTACTGCGCAGAGGGTCAATACGAGAGTCTAGAATCACAACAAGCTTGCTGGTGGACTAATCCGCTTTCGGAACTAGTTGGAAATATAGTGGCGCTGCGTACAAAAAGTACAAAAACAAAAACAATTTGGAAGGAAAATTTAGGAATTTGCAAACGTGAAGCCGTGAAGTTTGTGAATTGAAACGATAAGCAACTAAAACAAAACGAAGAAATTTACTGAAAAATTGGTTGATTTGAGCTGAGGTATTATTTGTTGCATTGCCACTTGCTGTATTTTTTCGGACACAATTCTGAGAACTTTTTCGAGAAACATAATTGACCTAATAAAATTACATATTATTACTGCAGGTATAATATAATGTATGACGGAATTTACAATCATTAATTATTTGATTATATCTTATGACCTATAATTTTTAATCATTGTCTTCCTTTCTTATTGACAGCCGCTCACAAGTAGGTTTGCTGGGTTTTTTTTGCTGCAAACTGCACAATTAATTAAAGGAAAATGGATTCCGCCTTGTCAAAGTCACTCGAGAATTTCAAAAGGAGAGCCATCGCCACGCCAACGTACGTACTATTATTAATATTATGATTGTTACTGAAATTCTATTAACTTTGGTCTAATTTTCAGAGTTGAAACAAAAAAGCGTGAGACAGCTGACTCCAGCAAAGATGCAAAAAAGCCCAAGCTGTCCCAGTCTTCTTCTTCATCGTCTGCCCCAAAACTTGATGGCAACAAGTGAGAAACTTCATATATATTTATTGATTTTTTAATGTTCTTAATTATTTATTGTGCAGCTTGTCGTCTATGTCAGGAACCTCACAATATAATTTTGGCATTCTTGCTAAAATTGTGAAGTACATGAGACAAAGGCACCAGCGTGGTGAAACGCACTCTCTGACATTAGAAGATATTTTAGACGAAACGCAGCAGCTCACTGTTCGTCCAAAAGTCAAACAGGTGCCCTTTGGATTTTCAATTAAGTTTTATAATTGAATCATGTGTACATTTTGTAGTGGCTAGCTACAGAGGCTTTGATAAACAACCCTAAAATTGAGGTTGTTCAGGAAGGAATAGAAAATAAATTTCTGTTCAAAGCACCTTACAAACTGAAGGATAAAAAAACACTTCTTCGACTTCTGAAGCAGCAAGATCTCAAAGGCTTGGGAGGAGTTTTGCTTGATGATGTCCAAGAATCATTACCTAATTGTGAAAAAGCATTGAAGGTTTGCTGTTGTTTGTTTCTATTACACTTATTTATCTATTTTAATTTTTTAGTCATTGCAAAATGAGATTATCTACATCACAAGGCCCATCGATAAAAAGAAAGTTCTATTTTTCAATGATAGAACTGCAAACTTCAATGTTGACGAAGAGTTCCAAAAGCAATGGAGAGCTGTTGCAGTCGAGTCAATGGATGATGCAAAAATCGAGGAGTATCTTGAAAAACAGGTTAGGGAAAGCTAATTTACTTCTTTCGGTTGACTTTTATCACCTCAAAAATTTGCAGGGTATCCGCTCTATGCAAGATCATGGTATCAAAAAGCCAGTCATGCCAATCAAGAGAAAGAAGGCCAACAAGAGGAAGAACACCAAGCCCCGAGACAATGATCACTTGGCTGATGTGCTTGAAAGCTATGACGATGATAAATAATGAAAAATCGACTGAATATTGGAGAAAGAAAAATTTCCACTATGTTATACTTTATTTGCACTGGAAAATAGTTCATTAAAACCACATTAACTAATATATAATAAATCCTTTTTCTACGCTTCAAAATTTAATTTGTGTCCATCGGCTCCGGAGTCTCCGAGGGCTTGCTGGCTGAACTATCAATTGTGGCTGGCACAATAGACTGAGGAGTCGAAGGGGTGCTGGTTGCAATCTGGATCTTGGGCATGGTGGTAGGCGGATAAACTAAAATGACAGCATTCAGTTAAAAAAATAAGGAAAAATAAATAGAGCAATCCAAAAGCCTAACCTGGCCCAGGTGTATGTCTTTATGTAACCTCTATTCAAATTGCTTGACAGGTTAAGTAAGCCTTTTAGATTGCCCCAAATATAAGTATGATAGGGTAGAGGCACCAGTTACTGTGCAGCGCTGCACAGTTTACCATAACTGGTGTACCCATCATTGGCCATCATACCTGAAGAAGATGAGATCTTGATGACAGGTTTGGGTTGGCTGATGATTTTGGTCTTCAGAGGTGTTGCTGGCTGCAGAGAAGACACCATTGTCATTCCAGAGGAAGGCATACTGGACTTTGATCCCATAGACCTTTGCTGCACTCCTCCCCGATTTGATATGAGACTTGAGTTTATTTTAGAAACAGGCTAAAGATGAATCAGAGTAAAATAAATAATTTTGATGGAATTCAATTATGATATTATGAACCATACTTTCTTTGCTATTTGGAGTTTGTAGTTGCAAGAAGACAGACAGAATCTATCGGGGGGTAGACGAAGACCATTCTGCAGCTTTACAGGTGGAAGCGGGTTGCTGTTTCTGCTCTTTGCTATTTCCATCAATACCTATTGATATGTTAAAAATACTTTTATTGAAATGAATTTATTTAAAAATAAATAAAACTATGCAATTTACGTCTCTAGGTGGAGCTGCTGTATTCACTTTATCAGTTTGCATGGTGATAGCAAGCTTAACATCATCCAAATCTATTACTTTTTTCTTCGCATGCAGAGCATAGACCCTGGATTCGTCTAGTAGGCTGGTCACATATCCTACAATGATATCATTAAACATTATTCATAAAAAAGAGTGATACATTACTATAGGTAAATTCGAGCAATTGGTTCACTACCCGAGGTTCGTATTCTGCTACTCCTGCCTCCGACAACATTGAAATGATGACTTGAGCATCTTTTGGTGTGCGCGCTGAACTGCCAGTTGAAGCCATTTTACCTGAAGTGCGAATTGACGTTTTTTTATTTTACAATAATGCAAACATACACATACAAACGAAAGAATGAATATAGTGTATGAACTATGAAATGTAAATATAATACATACATATATCTCAATTAAAATTGAACACCAACACTAAATATTATGTAAACACTAGGATTTGTTTGAGCACTTTTAGTACAATATTCATAAATATTATTATGTATGAAGTTGAAATTATGCAAAATATGTACACATAAAATAATCAATTTTAGAAAGATGTTAACAATATGTAATTAAAAGTTATGTATGATGTATGATTGGTATGTAATTAATGTTTGTATGCGTAAAATAGCATACAATCATATTATGTATGTAATTAAATGGTACATTATGAATATTTACATTTTCAACGTTTAGTAATCTTACCTTAAAATCTATCTTAACTAACGGTAAAAATCCTCAAAATATTTGTCCACACGACGCTAAAAATCAAGTACCATAAGAATCAACAAAAGATTAGTCCAAAATAACAGGCGACATGGGCGTGCCTGTTGTCGTAGCGTCTAGAAGTAGAGGGCGTGGTTGCGTGTTTGCTTGATGCTGTGTAATAATCGAGGAGTTAAAAATAAATTACACCCTCAATAGTTGCTAAAGTTGCATTACCATATTGTTACATTTTAAACATTTAATAGTAACTTAAAATTTACATAATCAATATTATTATTAACATTTTAACGTTTTTATGCTGGTGCCCTAATAGTACCTGTAAATTTTAGAGCTCTTTATCAAAACCACCTTGACTTCCAACACCACACCACATCGCCAGCTGGCAAAAAGACAAAAGACGAGAAATGTTTTTCTTGTAATCTGATCTATTTTGCACTTTTTCAATCTCTAAATCAATTTCAAGAGCATAGAAATGAATTTCAACGCGTCCGATGCTCGTCACCGTAAGCCAAATTTTCCTCCTGAAAATCTGGAAACCAACGACGGGCGCAAAAGTAGGCTGGGTGCAATAATGTTTTAGCATTTAATTTGGGAATGCCAATTTTGATGTTTTCGTTTTCATAAGTAGTCTCTTATAGAATTAATTGGTTTTATTTTGTTTTGTTTCGAGTCACTAACATTGTTTTTATTTGGTCCCTCTTCACAAAACCTCTTATCAAAATTACAAGAGTGATTGTTTTGGACAGTTTTGGAGTGAATTGTATTCACAAAATTTATTAAAAATTTTGTTTTGTACATTCATAGGACACATTATAAGTTGTCATTTTGCTTTGTATTTGTTTGAATATTTACCACAAAATTTTCAAATGCAAGTAATTGAATTTATTTTCATATGTATTCGCATACATATCTAATGTTTCCATCAGTATGTAGAGCTTTAAACAACAGTTTATTTTCCTTTTTTTTTTGGTAATGTATAAAAGATTTTTTATTCATTTGTATTTTTATGTATAATTTGTGTATTGAGGTACATAATTATGTTACATAGTCTGGAATTTCTGCATTATATTCTCTTGACATTCCTAATGTAATATGCTTCTTGTATTTTTGAGCCTATTTTTGTGCGACTTGTTGAAGGCCAGTTAAATTTGTTGCATTAATTGATTGACTGCTTGGAATTAACAGTTTTGATTTGAATGATTTAGCACCCCGAAAAATGAAGCATGGTGGTCCCCCTATGCCTCCTCAACAAATGCCCCAACCTTATTACGGAGCGCCTTACGGAAATCCTATGACTCCAGACCCTATGTACAACCCGAACTATGGGGGTTATGCACAGGACGGAATTTACGGTGCCCAGCCTAATCAACCTTACCAACCAATGCCACAAGGTATAACATTTTGAGAAAAATTTGAAACAAAATTTGTAAATAAAGTTTAAAAAAAAAATAGAGTACAGTGCTCCAGGATTTGCAATGCCAGGCTTGACAGACCCAATGGCAAATGCTGCCTTTCAGTACGGCCAGGTGCTGATGGGCCAAGGAACCCAGGCAGTTGGAAGAGAGTTCGAGAAATACGTTCCCGTTTCTCGGCTCAAATACTACTTTGCAGTGGACACCGGTTACGTAGTCAAAAAAATGCAACTTCTTTTGTTTCCATTTTGGCATTCAGTAAATGATTTTGAAATATATATTGGAATTACAGTTTGATTTAAAACACGATTCTTAGGATTGGTCTATCAAATACGAAGCCGACAGTCAGCCAGTGCAACCGAGGTACGAGCTGAATGCTCCAGATCTGTATATACCCCTCATGGCCTACGTGACCTATGTCTTAGTTGCAGGATTGGTGCTGGGCACCCAGGAGAGGTTTGAAAATTTGTTGAATTTTTTATGCGCTAACTAATTTGTTAAAAAAAAATGCAGATTTACACCAGAAATGTTGGGAATACAGGCTAGCTCGGCGCTGGCTTGGACGTTGCTGGAGTTGGCTGTCATTTCTGTTGCCATGTACATAACGAGCATCAAATCCAACCTGAAAATGCTAGACATGCTCTCTTACAGTGGATATAAATTTATAGGGTAAGACTGAAATTAATTTTGTGAAATAAAATTAAATTTCGATTATTTTTTAGAGCTTTGTCAGCTGTCATGGCGGGACTACTTTTTAAAAGTGCAGGATACTATGTAGTTCTCGTTTACTTCAGTTTTGCACTTGGATTTTTCCAGGTTAGGTGCACTTTGTTTTGGGAAAAATGGAATCTTATTAAAATAGATGATTACAGATGCGCTCCCTGAAGTGGCAGCTGCAGTCTGATGGCACTGCTAACCACTCTGATCCATATGGCTCAAGTACAGGTACAAAGCGGCGGTTCAACTTGCTGATCCTGATGGTGGCCTTGCAAACGGTGATCATGTGGCGACTTTCGGCTCACCTAATTACTCCATAAAACTGTTGGAAATAATCAATACCAAAGTGCCAATTCGTGTACTGTTTTGATTTGAAAATTTTCAGTCTCAACTAACCACACAAAATTTTGATTGATTCGATTCTGCTTTACTCATAGTCTTTAAGTGCATTTTGTAATTTGATGTCGGGCTTGTAAGAATAATTAAATTTATTTAAAAGATTTCCAATCAAAAGCAAAATTATTTATGTGTTTAATTTACTTATTTCCAAAGAAGTGACACCAAGATAATGATTTTGTCAATTTTAAAATATCTATTAATTTTTAAAAATATCAGAGTAACTCATTCAATGGTATAAACTGATTTTAATGATGTGGCTGAAGACTAGAAGAGGTCTATAGAATATCAAACAATTAATTTAAAGCAACTAGTCTTGACAGAAGCCATGCATGAAATTCACATTCTGACAAAAATGTCATGAAAAATTGGCATTGCTATGAATCTCCTCTCTCGCTGCCAACAAAAATTGAGACCGAAAAAACACGGTCATTGGGAGGTGCTGCGGTGGCGCGATCGAGGGTGGTTTCTGACACGGTCGCCGAATTTCATCAATTAAACTCCCCACTCTACAACTTGCGGCTGTGCATAAAAGCAGACAGGAGCTCCAGGTTTCGCTCAGAGCTACAATAGCCGTGTTGCATTACAAGGCACTGCTTTAGCAGCTTCATCAGCCTAATCGTCTCTTGTCTGAAGGTCTGCTTTTCTTTAAAAATGGTGAGCAATATTTTTTATTTCAATAACATAACTTACGATTTCTAGGATTTTTTGATTAAATAAGTTAAAATTTTTAATAAAATAAGATAATTATAATAATCATAATATAATAGCGGATAAAATATAAAAAATATATTTAACAATAAAAATTATATTAACGCAGCCCACAATGTTAAAATGCTTTTTTTATTATTTAATGTTGGAATCGTGATTGAACAATTTATTCACTAAATCTTATGTTATTTCGAACCTAAATCTTTTATCGCTCAATCAACGTTACTTGAGATTTATCTCATTTTTACTCTTCTCACGCAATATTGCATTTAAGCCGGTGCCATTGCACAAACAGTGTTTTTATAACACCTTGTGTATAATTTGCCTACCGCTAGCATTTGTCTGAGCCCAAAATTTCATCCATTAGATTTTATGGAAAAATCAATGCCGGGTCACCTCAGTCCGTCAAAAGAGAGTGCGAAAAACTTCAGCGCCGCAATTTTATGCGGCCTCCCTTCATATGGCAGACATATAGCGCTGAATATTAATGGATTAGCGCGGTGGTTTGAGCGCACACGTGCTCTCGCAGTTGAGAATTAAAAGGTAGACTGTAGCCTGGAGCTAATTACCATGATAATATAACCGAATATTACTAAAAGTTGGAAGGGCTTTTTTTATTTGCATAGCGATTTACCTTATCTGATGATTTTTTGAAGGCGCATATAATATGCGTGTGTCATTTAATGGAAATATTCTGATAACAGGAGCAGCTCATTAACATAATTATATACATACATTATATTACATTTTGTGTGTTGGAAAAGCTACAATATTATATTTGTATGATTGGACTTTCAATTCTTTCATTTTTCTTATCCACTTCGGTTTTTAATCAAGTCTGTCACTTATCATTGATTTTACAACATCTTTGTATTCTTTGTCCATCGTCTTGCAGTGCAATTTGTAATGAGGTATTCTATCGATTGAACTGCGCACAACTCCAATAGAGCCGAATTCATTATTTTCTTTTGGTTTACCAATGAGAAGTGAGAAATTTGACAGTTTAAACAAAATTTAAAACTGATAAGTTTCTTTTGATCATATTCAAATTTAATTAAATGAGGCGGCTATTCAACAAATATTTCAAAAATATATATTTGGTTTTAAGCTAGATAAGAGCAAATAATCTTAAGTTTGCACAAAAGCAGAATTCTTGCGACTGCAGCTCAATACAGCCAGTCATCACAGTGCAGGTTAAATTTGCTTTGAACGCTGGGTAAATTATATTCTGGTGCCATGGCACCAACCATTTTCATCCTTGTACCTGGCACCACACACAAAAATTTATTGCCTATAGCATGGCGTGCGCTCAAGCTCATTGCTGCAGACTATGGTTAAAAATCACTCTCGGCCCACCATTGTTTAAGAAATGACGAATTAAGCAAAAGGTAATTGATACTTTTTAAGTTAATTGTAAGATGACTCTCATTTGATAATGGTTAACGCCGATTAAAATAGGATAAAAAGTAAAAATTAAATTCAGGCTATAATAATTACAATTATTGAATTGCATTCATACGCATTTAGTACTCGACGTTAATTTTTCTGGATTCTCATGTCGCTCAAAAAATTTAAGCCTCATCATCAGGCAGAAGTTAACTCTGAGAAAATTAGGACACGGTCAGAAGTGGTGTATCATGTAATTTCTATGCGGTAGACTGATTTCCGAGGGATCTAGAGCGTTTTTTCCATAATTATCTATAGACTCTATAGTGCGCATTCTATGAGAACATTGAGAACAAAAAGAAGCAGCCTTGTAATAAAGCTACAGAGTCAAAATAATGACTAAGCTTTTTTTCTTTTAAACGAAAATATGATTTGGTTTGGTTTTTGCGGTATGAAAGCATCTTGCAAAGCAACATAATAATTTAATTTCTTATTTCTTCCACACCACGGGCGTGCGGCAAAAAACGGTCTGCGGCAGGTGAGGAATCGTTTGAATGATTTCACCACCATTCAGTCGGAAATTTTAAATAAAATAAAAATGAATCATTCTCTCTTTGTGGGAGACGGCAGAAACAGGAGTATAGGTATATTAATTGAGCAAATTGCCTCTTCCCACACACCGTAACAAAAAAAAATCCAACCAAAAATCACAGTGACGCGACAGTTTCCTTTTCTCCTCTGCTCTGCGTGCGCGCGGGATTAAATATATAGCTTCCTCTGCAGGAAGAAAAGTAATTATTATTGTTTTCGGGGCAATTAAAGAATGTTGCATGAGGTAATCGAAATGATTCGGCGGCTCACAGGAAGGGTGTTCACCGCGCGACTGGGTGTTCAGCGTTTTGCTGCCTCTAGCCTCCACATCTCCTAGCCCTTCACGCTTGGTTAGGTCTGTGGAACAGAAATCACCGTGCCAGAACCAGCAGCCACGAGCAATGTGCAAACGATATCTTTCGTACGGCACTCATTTTTATACACGTCTGCTTGGATTACCTGTAGTATCATCATTATAGCTTTGCCACTTTTTAAAATTTTGTGCGAACAACTGTGCACTCTTGTTTACCTGCGTGACCTTATTTTTACAAAAAGGTTTTAAATAGTGCAAAGTTTATTTTTCGCACGTTTAATTAGAGATTAAACGCAAGGCACATCAGAATGCATATATTTGATCAATATTAAATGAAATCTTAAAATTTTTTTATTAAAAAGGAAGAAACGCGTTAAGTATAATTATTTTGCTAGAATTTTATGTTAAGGTAGCAGGAAGCATATTTTTATAAAAATTCAAACATCTAAACAAGGATAGAAAATTGAGCCAAATATCGATAGATGTTTGTCTCAAAAGAAAATGAACGTTTTTATTAAAATTTCCATTATTCCATCATTAAATTTTTGGAACATCCTTTTTCAAATAAATATTTAAAATCACTCAATGGGAAATTCGCCCGCTTCTCATTTTAAGCGCCTCATATACACCATAATAAATAATAAAAAAATAAGCAAAATATCATTTGCAGCGATAATTATTTTTTCATTACACTCAATTACACTCTCACGATTTTGCACGCTCGTTGGTTTTCTGGTAATTCGAATCTCATTTAAGTTTAGTCACACTTTAAGTGCATTTACTAATGCGCAGCATTTAAAAAAAGAAATTAGCAAAGGAAATGAACTATGATGAAAATAATTTTTTTATCATTTTTTGCTCAAACCAGACAGATTGTAGGAACGTGCAAAAAGTAGATCAGGTATCAGGTTATGGGGTGATTCGTGCAAACGGCCAATAAAACAATTCATCCGGATTCCATGATGAGAGAGGAACCAGCTTTTAATAATACGCGATTTTATATTTATGCAACCATCTGGACGTTCGTGCAGCGTGGGTTGCATGATGTGAATTTATAAGGTAGGAAGTAAGAACGACTGTTCGCTGGTTGCGAGTGGGTTTAAAGGGGAGAGAGCAGAGATTAAACGCCCTGCAATTATTTTCCTGTGGGCCCAGGAAGAAGTACTGGAGTGGAAAATATTATTGCAGCCAAGCCCTTTAAAAAAAATATAAAAATAAAGTATTCTTCAGTGCCAGAAAGTGGCAAATAAATTCATTTATTCATGAATAAATGTCAATTGCTTTATATTGTTCTAGCGCGAGTGCATTTCCGTCCACATTGGCCAGGCTGGCGTCCAGATTGGTAATGCCTGCTGGGAATTGTACTGCCTTGAGCACGGCATCCAGCCAGATGGTCAGATGCCTTCGGATAAAACCATTGGCGGTGGCGATGACAGTTTTAACACCTTCTTCAGCGAAACCGGTGCCGGAAAGCACGTGCCACGAGCCGTCTTTGTTGATTTGGAACCAACCGTCGTCGGTATGATTTTAAAGATAAATAATAATTAATATGTCTTTAAACTTATGTATTTCATATTTACCATGCTTGTTAAAATTAAGATTTTTTTTAAGTAAACTTTTTGATTTATCATTTAAATTTTTTAAAGTCCAATGATCCTCTCTTAGATTTCCAAAGTAAAAAATTGCAAGATAAAAAGTTAAATTATTTAGACTGAATTAATAATTCATTGTTTCTTTCATCAGACGAGGTTCGCACTGGAACATACCGCCAGTTGTTCCATCCGGAGCAGTTGATCACTGGCAAGGAAGACGCGGCTAACAACTATGCTCGCGGTCACTATACCATCGGCAAAGAAATCGTGGACATTGTCCTGGATAGAATCCGCAAGCTGGCTGACATGTGCACAGGTCTCCAAGGATTCCTCATCTTCCACTCCTTCGGCGGCGGCACTGGTTCAGGTTTCACTTCCCTACTGATGGAGCGCCTGTCGGTCGACTATGGCAAGAAAAGCAAACTTGAGTTCTCCATCTACCCTGCCCCTCAGGTCAAAATTCCCAAACCTCAAAAGTGGAAAAAATTTATTGATGTAATTTTTTCATGATTCCAGGTTTCAACAGCGGTGGTAGAGCCTTACAACTCGATTCTGACAACACACACCACTTTGGAGCACTCAGACTGCGCCTTCATGGTGGACAACGAGGCCATCTATGACATCTGCCGCCGCAACCTGGACATTGAGCGTCCCACCTATACTAACCTGAACCGTCTGATCGGCCAGATAGTGTCCAGCATCACAGCGTCGCTGCGTTTTGACGGCGCCCTCAACGTCGACCTGACTGAGTTCCAGACCAACTTGGTACCCTATCCACGCATCCACTTCCCACTGGCCACGTACGCACCAGTTATTTCTGCCGAAAAGGCCTACCACGAGCAGCTGACCGTAGCCGAAATCACAAACGCCTGTTTTGAACCGGCCAACCAGATGGTCAAATGCGATCCCCGCCAGGGCAAATACATGGCCTGCTGCATGCTGTACAGAGGCGACGTTGTGCCTAAGGACGTAAACGCTGCTATCGCAACCATCAAGACTAAGAGGTCCATCCAGTTTGTTGATTGGTGTCCTACCGGCTTCAAGGTTATTCTTTTTATCTATAAATTATTTAAATATTATTGCATTTTTAAATACTCAGTTAAATATTTACTCAACCTGCTTCTTGAATAGGTTGCTTATAATGTTGGAAAAAAATACTGAAATATTATTAATTAATTTAATATACTTTACTGATTTTTTTTGGTAAAAAATTTTGGTACTTAAATAAAAAAGTTACACTCAATTAATGCAATTAATTTTTTCAGGTGGGAATTAACTACCAGCCCCCAACCGTGGTCCCTGGCGGTGACCTGGCCAAGGTCCAGCGCGCCGTTTGCATGTTGAGCAACACAACTGCCATTGCCGAGGCCTGGGCTCGTTTGGACCACAAATTTGATCTGATGTACGCCAAGCGCGCCTTCGTGCACTGGTATGTGGGCGAGGGAATGGAAGAAGGCGAATTCTCAGAGGCTAGAGAGGACTTGGCTGCCCTTGAGAAGGACTACGAGGAGGTCGGCGTTGACTCAGTTGATGGAGAAGCCGACGAAGGAGACGAGTACTAGAGTTTCACTGCTGAAAGGCTCCGAGAAAGAGCACGGCAGTTCCATTTTTATACTCATTTTTCAAAGTTAACAATCCATTGCATGAACTTTAATTCTACACACAAGCTTCTAATTGTCTTTGGGTTTGTTTTGCATTGCCAGCCACGCACGCACGTTTCATGCAGTAATGATAATGTGTCCCATTTGCATTTTATTTAAATTTTGGTGTTTTGTTTCTAAGCTTCATGTTGCTGGACTTGCTGGTGACTTCCGATTTGAGTGTTGTCAAAAAAAAAAAAAAAAAAAATCAATAAAAATAAACATAATTAAAAAATCTGTCGTCTTTTATGAAATAAAATTCATGTTTTTTGCACAGATTTGAAGGTGCACGCCTGATTTCCAGATTTTTTTTTACTGGGCCACGGTTTTTTAATCGTTACTCTATTCTCTGACATTCTCTGATAATAGTAAACAATCGCAAATAAAAAATATTGCTAAGTATTTAAAAATACATTATTATAATGTGTAACACAAAATATCAATAATGAAAAATGCAAACCGTCAATAATTAGTGGATTAATTGATAAAATTTATTTTTATCCCTCTTCTTGTTGACATCTAGCCTTTGTTTAAGCACTTAAAAAAATTGTGGTTTGGATGGCAAGCATTTCGGTATCCATAAATAAAGAATCTAAAAGGCTTATCAATTTAAACCTATCGTCACACACCAAGGAAGTAAATACTCTAAAAATGAGTATATAGTTTAAATGAAATATTACGTAGAAAATGTTTGGGTGATTCATCGTCCCTGATTTCCAGCAGCACTGAAAAAATGTACAGTTTAAAAAGAGAAGAAGGCGGAGCATAGGATATCAGTTTAACCCGTTTTTTAAATTAGTCATGAAGCTATAATTGTATACGACATAGCGGAAACACCCAGCATATTGTACTGTAAGATATCACAAGTATCCATATCGGCAAAATGAAGGCTCGACTGAGGTTCTCTTTACTCTGTGAAATTCTACTGCTCCACAATCATCTATATACTGTAGCAGCAGGTAGGCATATTTTTTCTGTTAGCAAAGGAATGCGTTTTTTAATTAAAGTTTTTGATATAAATTGGTTGATCAGTAGCAGATTTATTTTGCTTTTAAATAAAATATCACAAACATATAATTGGTAGAATACTGATGACAATCTGTGATGGTAAATATGGCTGTGTAATTTTATTGATAATTTAAACAATAAAATTAAGCTTAAATGTGCGTTTGGGAGTAGAACTTCAAGATAACTAAAAATTCACTCACTTTAAACTTACATAATTCATAATTAGACACTCGTTATATCAGTATGTATTTTTGTTAGAGCTATTATAAAACAACCTACTCTTTGGCATCTTTTTTAAAATCAATGTTTTATATATAATATTGCGCCACCTTTGTTGATAAGAGTTAGAATAAGTAAGTAAAATTAATTCAGTATTTGTGAGACTCATTGCGTTTCTTCAAAGTATTAAATGCATGCAAATTTGTGCTGAGATGTTTTTCATCAAGACAATCAATAATTCATAAATCTTCTCAAAGTTACTAACAGTATGGCACAAAATGCTTCACTAAACCACTAACTTTGTGCAGTATTTTAATATCTTTGGTTTTTCTTACATTTGATAAAATGCATTTGATGGTTACTAATTTTGGCTGATAGACAGAACATCAAATGATGAGTGTGTACATAATTTGAATGTTAAAATATTAGAGACGACAGATTTGATCAAAGCTTGATCAGTAGGGATGGGGAAACTTCTACGTAATATATTGTTACTTGCAACGAAGTAAATGCCTTCAAGCACAGCTTGGAGATCAATTTTATGCCCATACCTAAACACAAATGTGGCAACAAATCAGTATTAGCAAGATTATGAAACCCTTTAAATGAAATGGATCAATCAGCCTTAAAAAACACTAAGGCCTTTAAATCAGGTAAAAAAAATTTTGTACTCACCCTTAAATTGCAGTCCCAGCTTCCAGTAGCAAAAGCACATCCATCTGGAGAGACTTTCAAACAAGACACCCTGTTCTCGTGCCCATACAGCATGGCCACCCTGACCGTCTTCAGGGTGTCCCATATGTTGACAGTGTAATCGTTATAACCAGCAAAAAGCAGTCGACCACTGACAGAGAAGTCAACAGCATTGACTCCAAATATTATGCTTTCCTTGTTGTAAACTGCGACTTCTCTATCAGCTCGTAGATCAAATAGGCGGCACTAAAAAATTTTTATTTTTATTTTGTAATGAGAGAAAAATTAAGAATATTACTGTTGCGTCATCAGAGCCTGTAGCAATTGCATCTCCGCCAGGGTGGAATTTTACGCTATTAACGTCTGACTCATGACCTTCAAAAGCTTGGACGCACTGTCCAGTCCGCATGTCCCAAACCAGAGCAAGACGGTCACAACTCTATAAAAAACAATTTATTTTGAGGGAAATTACAGATTTTAGTGTTCTTACCCCTGATACGAAAGTGTTCCCAGTTTCTGAAGGGGCCAAGTCAATAGCCATAATGTCTCCTTGATGACTTTGGAAGCTCTGCAGCTGTTGACCAGACTCTACGTCCCACAGGGCGCAAGTCGAGTCACCACTTCCGGTCAAAATCTAAATTGGATTTTGTTATTATAGAATAAATTATGTATGAAGGTAGAACAATCTTACCTGTTGGTCAGAATTGGGAAAAAGGCAACACGACATGTAGCTTGTGTGTGTTCCAACAGTTTTCTTTTTGGCTAAAACGTCTTCCTCCATGCTCAATGGGTAAACTGTTATTTTATTGTCGAGACCGCTGAAAAAAGTAAAACTTAAGTACGGACAATTATGCATTTATCGGATGGTGACTGACCCGCAAGCTACCAGGTTTCCAGAGGGAGCGTAAGCACAGGCCATCACCCAAGTTGTGGGCATTGTCACTGCATGCTCTTTGTTAGTGGTAAACGCATCCCAAATAATCATTTTCCCATCCTGCACCAAAATTTTGAATTTCATGCGTTTTGTTTTTTAATTTTTTAAAATAAAATTAAAATCGTAAAATTGCATAAAGACGCCAAACCTGAGAAGACGAAACGATATGCCTCTTGTCCTGCGACCAATCTAAACAAAGAACCTTAGCTTGATGGCCCTTCAGAAGTCGCCTAGGTTTTATGTTGACACCGGTCATGTTCTCGATCCGCTCAGCAACTGTCGCCACTGCAAGGTTGAGGAAAAAAATTTCAAATTCTGTGTCATCCTTCCATGCAAAGTTTGTAAAAAAGTGGTCTTACAAGCAACATCATTCAACTTCTGTCGCTCCTCCTCGAGTTTGGCTTTGAGCGAGGCCGCCTCCTTCGACAACGACTCGAGGGTGTCGGTGCTCTGGTTCGCGCTGGCCGCGTTCGCTTTGTCGCTCGCCATCGTCGCTATGTTTTGCTCCAGAATTAGAGATGCATTGATATGAAGCGATTTCTGGCGCTCAACTTTTGGTGTCAGTCAGCATCGATTTTGGGCTGTTCGGGAATGCCTAGGCGCAAACTCATTCCAGACTCGGCTGACTTGTTTTTTGTTTTTGTCCTAGTGGGGTTTAGAAAAGGAGCTAAGCGTTTATGTGATTTAACCCAACATGGAACTTTAAAAAAATTTTAATATTACTTTCGAAATTACTCTTTGCTCATATTTATTTGTATTATATGTCTCAATTAAATATGAAGGGTTAACTTTGCAGTATTTAGTTTCAAAAATGATAAAATTTTAGCACTCCTTAATGTACATCCAGCCTATTATTGACTAGATCAGCTGCTGCATCGCCCTGGCTTGACTAATCGAGTTTTGTCCCGCAATATCTCTGGCGACCGCTGTCCTCAATCTTAAAGCAATCTTTTAATCGTCGATAATTAAGCATTATCGCCATTTTTGGCCCTTATTAAACCTTTTTTGCCGCCAACTTGTTGAAGATTCGACCCGAAAATGGTTGCGAGGTCGCTGATCGCGTTTTCGGCAGCGGCGGTTTTCCTCGTCGTCGGTGCTGCAGCGGACGGTGAGAAACCCTATAAGTCTAAACGCCTTTTCATTTCGACATTTGGCTTCACACACCCGGTCTTGCACAATTTCGGTGCCAATTCCTATAAAATTTTGAAAGATTCATATTTTATTGCTACACATTTCATGTATGGGTAAATTTCCATGCACCAAAATTGGACAAAGTTAATACTGTGCAGTGTGCAGATGCTCTCTGCTGGATATTAGTTTGCATAGCCTTTTGCGTTTTGAAACAAATATAAAAACAATAATATTTGAGGGATACTGATGAAAAAAAAACACGGGGTCTGGCATGAGTTTTACATGAATAAAATACTACTTTTATATTATTACAATACGCAAATATGTACATAAAATAACTTCATTGGTCACATAACAAAAACACTATTGAACTTTGGTATCTTATTTGTGTGTCCAATCATTTAAATTAACTGTGATTTTCCTTGTTGAATATTTTTTTTTTAAATGAGGGTGCATTGAGAAAATTGTTATATTTAATTAAACATTCATCAATAATTCAAAAAAATATCAATTAAGATTGTGAAATTCAAATTGCAATTTCCCAGAAAGATATTTCTATTTCTTTACTCTCTATACAAACTATTCAATGAGATATGTACTAGATACTTTTGCCAATTTTGTGTCCCCACAAGTAATGTATTGTTTATTTTTGGAATAAGAGTTTAATAAAAATTTAATATAATTTTAATTTATTCTCAATAAATGCATGATTTTCAATTCTTATGAACATATCTGAATCTCAATATAAATAGAATATTATATTTTATTTTGATAATATTTGATACTGTTTAAGATTTTTTTAACTATAAGAATTTTTTATTTAATTAACACTCTTATATTATTAACTTATATGTTAACCATCTATATTTTACATGCACTGGTTACAATTATTCGTAAGTGTTTTGTGCATTCAGTGTAGCTAAAAGTACTAACCATTTTGTGTACACACAATGTTCTATGATTGGTACAACAAGTACAAAGGCCTTCTAAGGTTAGTGTTTGCTTTGTGACTAAGCTGTCTTGCTGCCATTTTAAGTATAAAGCAACTTACTATCTCTGTACACGCCTTTTTTGCCTTATCATGTCGTCGTCTGGAAATTTATTTATTTTCCTAGACCGATATTTTATCATTTTTTATAATCTGGCTTCGAGTCTCAATTTTAGCAAGTTGATTTTGAAAAATCCTTTTGTTCTTGCCCTCGAACGTCTCAAATTTAAATTTTAAATTCTATACTATCCAACATTATTTAATTATCTAATTTGTTTATGGTGCGTCTATATAGTGAACCGTATGATGAATGATGAAGCAATCACATTTTTACAACATTATAGTTATTTGGAAATCAACCAAGATAATCATGATAGGGCGTACCTAATAAAAAAATTAACTGGTATCTTTATTAATAAAGCTATGAAAATACAATTAAAAAATTCAAGGATCTATCCAGGAAAAATTCAGCTTTGAGAAAAAGAATGTTAAAAAAAAAATTAATAAATTTGGCGCAGAAATTTTCAACTATTCAGGTCGAAAACATATTTTGCTGAGCGAACTATGAAATTTACTTGAATTAAAAAAATGCATGTTTATTAATAAAAACATGTTCCATCGATGGCTTTTTAGAAGCGACAAATGTATACGGCGCCGACTTTGCCTTGCGTGAGGGAAGTCACTTTGTCATTCATTGCAACGTGACCAACTTTGAGACCCTCAAGTGGCAGAAGGACAATGTCGACATCGAGGAAACCACAACCAACAACATCACCCTGCTTGAGGCGAAGACGCCGTGGGGCAAAACGGCCGAGCTAAGGGTGTCTTACGCCACCACGGGCCACACAGGCTCCTACCGCTGCAACTCTTTCCACAACCGCGGCCAACATATCTACGTCATAGGCCGTAACGAAATTTTTAAGAATTTCTGCTTCTTTAACAAGATGCGAGAGAAAAATGCTATGAGTAACACGTTTGCACCTTTTCCTGTGGTTCTTTGAAATTGATCAACACAAAAAGAGTCTAACAATACATGGCCTATAATATATTGGTCATGATCGAAACACATGTTATCCTGAACTATTTTCATTAAAAAAAAAAATCGAAAACCTTTTTTGTTGAGCAAATAAAAAGGATTAATAATTTGATTTGAACAACGATTTTGTGACTAAATATGATAAACTGCATGTAATTGATTTACCAATTAATGCTTAAATTAACCTAATAACCTTCAATATCTGAAATCTGGAAACGCATGCAGATTTTGTAGCCGTGTTGACAGTGAATATATGACGGTAATGAGTAATCTGACATTTTTAAATCCTGTGCTGATTGATGAATTGTTTGTTTTTAATTTGGAACTTGTGTAAATTGCTTTAAATATCATGTAAATATTCTTAATTTTCAAAAATATAATAATTACATGTATATTATATTAACAAAGCTTATGAAATTGATTTGCTATGTATGTACATGTGCACTTGTAATTTATTTCATATTAATATGTTAGTTGAATGCCTACTACTTTTATCGTGAGATAAATATTTAAAATTTTGAAAAATATTAAATTAGGGAATTTTTAAGTAAGGACGTCATAATTATGTTATAAATGAATTTTTTATTTAATCATCTTTTTTTGAATTAATTTGTTTTGAACCTTAATGATGAATCATTTTGGTTATTGTTACCAAATCAATTTCTGTTGTTTCTAAAATATTATGCTCTTTTACCATGCGATTTATTTGTGGGTTGTCGTTTTTTTGCCAATACATAATAATCATGCAAATCTAAATTTTGTCAACATCCCGGTGTTAACCTGGTGATAATATAATTATTTTTATTGCAGGTTCCTCAATCCTAACCAATAAAGACGAGGGCCAGCACATGGTCTTGAAACATGGCACTCCCTTAAGGTTGGAGTGCAATGTCACAGATGAGAATCCTCAGCTCACTTGGTGAAAATTGACTATTCAACATGGGATTTTTTCATAATCTCCAAATTATTGATTTTTGCAGGTCTCGAATCCACATTGATACTGAGAAAGAAGAGAAAATTGATGCGGAAAATGCCAGGTTTAAAGTGATTGCCAACCACCAGTCTAGCAGTTTGACGTTATTGAGACCAACGATTGATGACGCCTACTACGACTACTTGTGCAAACTGAGCAAGAAGAGCAATGTTGGCCAGACCATGACTGTCACAGAAACCTTTACTATGATTTGTAAGAATGAATTTTTTTTAAATTAATTAGCAAAACCTTGACTTCCTTAAATTTCATAATAATTTATAAAAATTTTCTATTTTCTTCTTCACATTTTAGGGCCCACCGCCTGCAAAATGGCAAAAGAGCATGTAGTTGTTGAAGGTGAAAGTATCACCATCAACTGCACTGTGTTCGGAAAGCCCAGACCTGACCTTGTTTGGGAGTTTGGTATGATATTTGATGTTTACAAGGTGTAATAAATTGGTAGAAGTTATTTTAACCAAGTGGACCTAGTTGTTCATTAAAAATTTATTTAGTCTCAGACGACTTAGTCCATACATAAAATTTTTATATTTTGAATTATCTCTTATGGTGATATTTGTTGTAGTATGGCTCCTAAAACATTTTTTTTTTATTTAATGTAACTGCTAACTATGAAATTGTATACATTTTGTCGGCTCTATGGAATAGCCAAAGATTTATAATTTAACTTTTGTGAAGTATTTAAAAAAAAACTGAAACTTGAGATTGAATTTATCATTATAAAATGTTTGTCCTGCAGAAAATGATACAATCTCTAACCTGACTCTTGAGAGTGATGGAGGAAGAGTGGAAGTGAATTATACTATTCTCACCATTAAAGACACTAAAATGACTGACAGAGGCACATATAGATGCAAGCCATCTATTCTCAAAGGAGCCTACGCAGTAAGCTGCCCAACTTACATCCGAGTTAAAGGTACAATATATTTTCATTGCATGCTTATAATTGAATTTGATAATAAAACCTTCTTTTTAACCTTCTGTTTTTAATTTTTTTCTAGACAAACTTTCTCCTTTGTGGCCATTCCTTGGAATTTGCGCCGAAGTGCTTGTTTTGTGTTGCATCATATTGATCTATGAGAAGCGGCGCAATAAGTCTGAACTGGATGAAAGTGACACAGACCAAACCCCAGAACAGTAAGTTATTTCTTTGAAAGATTGGTGATAATAATCAATTTGATTTTTGTTCTTCAACAATTAGGAAACAGACCCCTGATGCCGGTAAAGGTGTTCGCCAAAGAAGCAACAATTAGTGGTCAGTTTGATCTTTTTACGTCATTTTCTGCTGTACAATTTTTTCTTATCAATTGGCTCCAAGGGAGCTTTTTTGAAATTGTTTAACATAATTAACCACATCCACAAAATTTTTGCACCTTGCAACCAAGGAACGCTTGTTAATAGTTAGGATACTTGTAAATTATTATAATAATATAAAAAAATATTTAAAGGATTGAAAAAATGCCCATATGTTACTGTTACGCTTCTAAAATGTATGACTAGGAAATATGAGGTAATCTCTGTATGATGAGCAGAGCATTAGTTGTGAGCCACATTCGAATGAATTTTTCTTTTTGAATTCTTATCAGTTGTTAGTAATAATTATGTTAAAGCTTGCCACTCTGCTGGTCTCTGATAACAATTATTAATTATTATATTTACTTTGATAAAATTGTTTGCAAAGTGCATTTAATTTTTTCATAATTGACCATGCTATTGTTTGTTTGAATTTATCAGAGATCAGTTTAAGCAATGATTTAATGTATTTTTGACCTCATGTAACCTTTCTTATATAACTATGAAGTTATTAAGGCAGTTCCATTAGATTTGCCATAAAATCGATTCATATAATATTTCATCCGACTCTCATGTTGAAAATGTTAATAAAATCTCTCGGGGGTTGTTACAAGTGTGGTTTTATTTTGGGGACAAAACAGTTGGCAAAAAGATTTCATTATCTCGTTGTGACCCTAGCGATGACGTAAAATGCACTAATGTACATTATATAGGTACCAATTAACAAATTAACTAATTCAATCTATTTACCAGTGGCTTCATTCTTTTTGATAGTTACTTAAATTCCCAACTTTATTCAGTTGCACAGTTAGGATCTATGCTATCAACCAGCGCCCACAAATCCTTAAGATTGCCAAAAAGCTGTGAATTTTAGTACAGTTAATTTTAGGAATATTGCTGATGGTTCAAAATTACTTACATTTTCAAACCAAGATGAGTGGACTGTCTCCAAAATTTTACCAATCCTTGATGCAACATCATATTGTTCCATTTCTTTATGACACAACTGGTAGCAGTTTATCTTAAGATGGGCAATTTTACAGTATTTATAAACTCTCAAGGAGCATTTATGGCAGGCAATGAATTCCTGGAAAATTGCCAATTAGAAAATAAATTGCATTAATAATATTTATTATTACACTTTCATCAGCAGCAATTAGGTCTGGGTCTACAGGATTCAGTGATTGTTTACAATAAACATTTCCACAAGCTTCAAGGAGATGGATGGCATTTTCCTTTTGGCAGCACTGACATTTGTTGTAAACTGTTAAATTTTGTGGTCGGAACTGAGGCCATCGATCCAGCATATCCTGCATATCAACAAATTGTAAAAATAATATTGTGTAATAGTTAAGCTGAGAAACGCTGTGAAATCATACCAAGATTTGTTGAGGAAAATTATAGATACTCTGCAGTTTGTTTTTCCGTTGCTCATTCAGTTTGTCAATCTTTTCAATTGGAATAGTAAAGAGTGTTTCTGAAGATTCATGCAAGTTCAGTATAGCAGCAAATATGTTTATAATTGGTTTTTACTCACCCTTTTCTTCAAAAATCACTTGCAAAAATCCACCTTCGACAGCTTGTGACAAGAGCGCCTGGATGTAAGTTCGGAAAATGTCTTCCACCTCGGCTGTGGCAAAGACAGATTTGGTTTTGATGCCCCTGTTTGATTTTTTTTTAATTGTTGTGTGTATAGTGCAATAGTTACTTTTGAAATAAATATTCTTACCTTTTGGTTTTCTTCGGAGAATGTGGTAAAATCACCCTAACAATATTCATGTTTGCAGACTTTTTGTAAAACTCAATCTGTTCGACCTTAAACTCTCTATACGAGTCAAGATTCCAACTGCTATACTAAAATTTCAACAAAATTAGCTGCGATATTTAACTTACGCAATAATTATTACACTTGGCTTGCTTCTGTACAGAAGCTCTCCGTTTTCCATAAATGGCTCATAGACCTGTTTCATCTCTGGTCCGTCAACTCGATACAATCTGGGGTAGCCCTTTTCAGTGTCTTTCACATGAGTCATAAAAGTACCAGTCTGTTTAGTTTAGAATTATCTTTAAAATGAAAAATAGTATACAAAATAAAATTTTACCTTATACTTCCTCCTCCTCATATTCGGAGGAAGCTTTGGCTGAAGATCGCTTTCTTCCAATTCTGTCACCTCTTCCTTCACTTGTTTTGGGGCAATAGCTTCCATTTTTGAACGTTTTGGTCCAGGTTTAGATTTTGCACTGTGCATTCCTGGTAGCTTCCTCTTAACTGATGTACTCTCAATCTTTCGATTTTGCTTGATGTTGATGGACGGAAATGCTTTTTTGAAAGCATCCTCTGGTTTCATTTCTGCTTTGGTCTTAATCAAAAATTTCATTTTTGAGATGATGTTTTTGCCCAATAGAGTTTCCATTTCTTCATCAATTGTCTTGATATTAACAGGTAACTTGACTGGTCTATCAAGTGCCTCATTATTATCAGCCTTGATAGCCTTGCTATTTGAGAGAGAATTTTCAGGCATTTCTTGCTTTACTTTACAATTGATATTATTTTCTTGCATTATCTCCATCATCTCACTCTCAGGGTCAAATGCTAAAAAATTAATTAGTAAATTAAGATATTATTGTTTTTTGTCATTTGATCATGCAACATACTGGTAGATGGAACACAAAAGTTTTCACCACTTTTGCAGTTCTCAATATCTGTGTTGGATGTTCCGTAATAAGGATTTTGACTCAGCTTTACCCGTCTAAAGTCTAAAATTTTGAGGAAAATGTCATTTCAAACAAATTTAAGATTACATTAGAAAATTTAAACCTGTATCTGAGCCACTCTTACAATTAGCAGCCACTTTGAGATCCTGAATTGTGTCAGTCTTTTTATTTATGCAACTGATTGGTGGTAACATATGTTCCAATTTCTTATTTTCTCTCTCGGAAGATCCTGTCAAGTAAAATGTGGTAAAATATTGACACTACTTTCTGTTTATCTATCTAATGCTTGGCAGATATATAACTCGAAATATATTTTAACTTTACCTCCTTGCGCAGCTAACATTAAGGACTGACACCTGCTGCTATCTGATTCCAAACCATCTTTGATATCTACTTCAAATGGAAGCTCTCCAGAGAGACATTTCTCAAAGTCCTCCAGTAGAGAGGTTGGGCTCGTCCCAGACACAGTAATATTAACACCTGTTAAAATGCATAATTTTAATCAAGCAAAAACTTAAAACCCGACAATAATGTACCTTGCATTTGGAAGCAGTTCTCAATATTGTTCTCGTAATTAGGAATCTGCATTCCGCTTTCATCAGGCATTAGCTTGTATTTCTCGGGCAGAGAGAATACTTCATCTGCTGCATCAGCTACTGGCATACAGTCTTCGCTGTTGCTTTCATCCTCAGTTTGTGACAACCTCTTTAATTGATAGTCTGATATCCTTGATAGAACAACTCTTGGCTGGTACATTTTGTCAGTGCTATCTATATGCTGCAGGGAAAATCGTAACGGTGTAAATATAATGAACATAGTATGTTGGAGAGCAAGTATCTATCACATAAGGCATTTAATTTACTATAGTCATTGTGTTTTTTTAACTTAAAAAGACACCAGTTTTGTGAAAGTTTAATTTAATTACCGCACTTAGTGATTATTTTATAATTATTTAATAGTTGGAAAGGTCCAGAGTTAGATATTTCAAAGCACTAGTCAACCCAATCGAAATCTGTTGCTACAGTTGCTCCTCTGGGTCCTTTCCTTTCTTAAACCCCCAAATAAGCGGAGTTTTTGAAATGATACAACTGCCAATTCGAGTTGTAGACATTAGTTTATTAACAAATTATCTTTACAATTATACAAGAAGAGCATTTTTTGTCACAGTTCGATGGAAAAATAAAATTAAATGACACAAGGGAGCAATGGCTAACAACAGATCTGCGATTTATAAATTAATAATCTAACGCGAACATTATGCGGCTGCATGAAAAATGTTATTGCTCACTATAGGGTTAGCACAAGTGCTTTGCAATGAACAACTTGAGGCCTGCCCAACGAAAAAGGCTACTGACCTTGTCAGAACTCTGAGCGGCCAAATTGAACATAGCCTCGTTGCTACTGGATTGCGACTCGAATTCATCGGATGGACCACCTGGCATATAATAATAATGATGAAAATCTTTAAAGCTTGGTGGAAAAATGTGGCAAATTTTCTAATTAAGGGGAGGAAAAGCAACTTTTTGAGAGGAGGATTTTCCACCAAGCTCAAAGAGCAAGCAATTCTTTGTACTGAATTCGCAGACAAATAAAAAACCAAAGAGACACAGCAGTAAAAAAACAATCACTGCTCTTCAGGTTATCTCATGGACCAAGGGTTGTCCCTTGACAAGGGTGTCTGTGGGGGCGCCCAAAACATGGGTAACCACGACGGGTAAGAGTTCGAATTGGCAAACGCGGCGGGGGAATTATTGGACTGGTTCTGCATGGAGGTTGAGGGGTTCTGGTGGTTATTTGCGGTCTGTAAAGAGTGAAACACACCTTCGTTCAGGTTCTCTGGCGGAAGAGAGCGCTTTCTACCGCGGCCACTAAGCTCACCACTTTCCTCCCTAAGACCGGCGTTTTCGAGTTGCGGCACCTGGTGGATCTGATAGCCTGGGTGTTGCAGCTCCGGCGGCTGTTGCTGCATTTGAACTTGCTGCGGAATGTGCTGATGCGGCTGAGGCGGTACTGCCACTTCTGGGCAAGGAGGCTTCTGTGGAATGGTGCGGCCCCTTTGCTTAGGAGGCGACTTTCGTCCACTACCTCGCACACCAGAACTACTGCCCATTGAGTTTTCCTGATCACCATTGAGAAACTTAATGAAACTATCCATGAACCCAGGCGTCTCCTTCTTGAGCTGCACTGTTGGCCCAGAGGAGGTGTTGCCCTTTTTGTTGGCGTTAGACATTTCTAGGAACCCAAGTTCTTCGTCAATCAGAGACCCAACAGATTTTGATTGCGGCTGCTCTGGCTGGTGATAATTATTGTTTTGTGGCACCACCTGCTGAGGGGGTTGTTGGTGGTGCTGGGCGTTCTGTTGGTGCACCTGGGTTTGGTGCTGGGGCAAAGGCGGGAAGGCTACCCTCGAGTGGAAACCAAGGGCTGACGCAGCGTATCCGTCTTCAGCGTGCACCGGTTGAAGAAGAGTGAGCTGCCGGTTTATTTTCTCGGGGCTGTCGCTTTTTCTGGCCCGTTTGTTGCGCCGCTGCCGCTTGCTGCTGCTCCGTTCGTAGTCTTCGCTATCAGAACCACCATGCGTTAGCAACTCGTCCGAACCGCCATGCAAATCAGCTAAGTTGATGGTAGAGTGGTAGTGCTGCTGCTGCTGATCTGAAACATTAAAAGCATTATTGTTCTCTGCTTCGGCGTAGTTGTTGTAGCTGCGGCTGTGCGCGGGCACCGTCCGCTTCTCTTCCCAGTTGTTGTGCGGTTTCATAGGGAATTGGTGGTGTGGGGGAGGGACTTGGGCTTGTTGTTGCGGCTGGGGTTGGCGTTCGAGAGTGGGTTTGGAGTAGACGCAAGAATCAGGAGATGCCATATTGTAATAGGGACTGCTTGGATTGGGACTCGGCCGCTCCATGGACATGTGGCAGTCAGAATCGCCATACGGTCCTGATGAAGATACGCTGTCCGGTGTGTTTCGCTGCTGATAGTCGCTGTCCGGACTTGGATAGCTGCGACAGTGGGGTTGAAGATGAGGAGGGAAGCTGCGATGGACAATTATGTTGGAGGCTTTTGTGTTGTTGATCACAGCCGACGCAGCAGCCATAGCCGCGGCTGCCGAAGGATTGTAACGAGGCTCTGAAGGGGGTGGCGGGGCAGCCTTGTGCTTCGGAGGGGCTTTGGGGGTGAAAATGGGCACCTTGGGCGCCGTTTTCTGTGGCACAAAGGGCAAATTGGGGGCACCAGCGTTGCCATAGTTAGAGGCCGAGTGAGCGAACGGGGGGATGATGTGAGCGGAGAAAGTGTTTTCGCCTTTGTTGGGGCTAACGTTGGTTTTTTGAGAGGCCTGGTGGGGCAAGACACCAAACGGATTGCCCAGGCTGTTTGTCTGCGGGGTCCAAGGCGAGGACTGCTCCATTTGGACGGGCTGACCAACAGCCTGGTGAGATCGGTGGTGTTGCTGCTTTTGGTGGTGAAACAGCGAGCTGAACATGGCTGAGTCGTAGTTTCCCAGCTGAAAAGACGAATTGGCCGCCACTGCAACCGCCGCTGGACTCATTCCAGCCAGAAGCAGTTGCGAGTTGCCCATGGCTTGCAGGTCCGCCACAGTCCGCTGTCCTGCAGAGGATGAGGCCAAAGTGCCCGGCGGAGGAGCTTGTGAGGGGGGTAGCCCATTGTACGTGTATGAAGCCCACGGTCCACTTGAATCCATCGTGGCCGTGTGCTTCACATTACAGACAAGCAAGTAGAGAGATACCTATAACACAAGTTTCAAATTAGTTGCAAATTATTAATAAACAACCTTTTAATAAATTCAAAAGTCCAGCCAAGGACGTTGTGAAAGCAAAAATAAAAAATAAAAAAAGTAAAAAAAAGTAAAACAGAATAAGGATATTGAAACAATTTACGTTTAAAACTCTAATGAATTTCATTTTTAACATTTAAAAATATTGAAAATGATGCAACGTATGTAGAATTTTCATTCATAGAATAATCTTAGCTCAATATCGAAGAAGCTTGTCACATTTTTGTGTTTTGTATATACTTCACGAGCATCATGCAATTAGGGCCCCACACTGACCCACTCGGAGGTCAGAGGCGACTGCATACAAGCTGACATTAACACGAAAAACGTATTTACGTAGGTGTAGAAAATTTTGATTAATTCATTTAGTTAATAATATGGCACTTCAAACCAAAAACTAAAATAAGAACAAATTGAAATGCCAAAAAAGTAAGCCCACCCTGAGAGGAACAAACAGTCCTAATTTCTACAAAATTTCGCGATTCCCACAGCTCTATGAGCGTTCAAATGACGGAGCATACAAATAAGAAACAATATTTACCTTTTTAGTATGACGATCGGCTAAATTTACGGCGAAATCGAAATTTCTCGACGCTGGAGTCACTCCTTGGGTAACGCCATCTTGGACTCCTCAATACCTCGTTTTCTATTATTTCTGTTTTGATTCAATGGATCAATTCTGGCGTTGGCCGTTGAGGCGCTGTAGTCAAATTTTTTCAAAGAAACCGGTCGATATTACCGATTTTAATTTATATCACTTTGTTTGAAGTTATTATTTCAATTCGTATCACATATTTAATAAATTTAAATTTAACTAGTTTTAATAAATCGCTTTCAATATAATAGAAAATATAAATCGTTTTCAAATGTAAATACAAAGTTTTTATTTTATTTAAAATACCGGTTTTCTTAACTTTCAAAGATGATAATCGCCAGTGTTTTTTGTTTTTTTTTTCATGTCAACCCAAGTTGCCGACGGATGGAAGTTTTCACAAGAGACTCCAACAAAATTAAATTTTACCGTGTAATTTTTGTACATCAGAAAACTTTAACAGGCTAGGTATTTATTATGTATGACTTAGAACATAATCTTGCAAAAGCTGTATTAATTTCTTGACGGTAAAATTTAATTTGAGGAAAAATGCAAAAATTTTCACTTGCAAGAAATATGCATCGTTAATGAGTGCAAACATCAAAAATGATTTTTACGCTTTTTATTTAGTTCTTTGTAATTTCTTACTATATTTTCATAAAGTTAATTCCACTCACTAAAACTGTTTGTCAATGAAACATCATATTATAAATTTCAGGAAAATGACGTCCTCCGAGGATGTGTTGCTGCAAGTGTCCAACGTGCGATACCAAAAGAAAACCGGCACTCTTTACGTAATGAACGAGAGATTGGCCTGGATGATGGACAATAGGGACACGGTTTCTGTCAGTACTCGCTACGCTGATATCAAAAGTAAGTAATGTTGCAAAAATTATTGAAATGTATTTACCAGGCTTTACATTTTTTCAGTGCAAAAAATTAGTCCGGAGGGAAAAGCAAAAATTCAGCTACAAGCAGTTTTGCACGATGGCACGGCGTCCACATTTCAGTTCACCAACCCAGCCGGGCAAACGGAGCAAGTTCGCGAGCGTGACAGTGTAAAAGACTTGTTGCAGCAGCTTTTACCAAAGTTCAAACGTAAAGTAAATAAGGAACTTGAAGAGAAAAATAAGTAAATTAAAACTACTCGTTTTTATAATGGGAAAATATATTTCGTATACTTTTAGGTTATTGACAGAAAATCCAACTCTATTGCAACTTTATAAGGATCTTGTGATTTCGAAAGTAATTACATCAGAGGAATTTTGGGCACAGCATGCCTCAAAATATACTAAGGACACCGCAACCAATAAACAGCCTATTGGCGTTTCTGGAGCATTTTTGGTAAACCTCAAGGCATAATAATATGGGAAGTCCTCAAGGATAAAATAAACATTTTAGGCTGATATCAAACCTCAAGCAGATGGATGCAATGGCCTTAAGTACAAATTGACCTCTGACATCATTGAATCAATCTTCAAAACATACCCAGCCGTCAGAAGGAAGCACATGGAATATGTTCCCCACAAAATGACTGAATCGGAGTTTTGGACAAAGTTTTTCCAGTCGCATTATTTTCATAGAGACAGAATTCACGCAGGCAATAAAGATATTTTCACCGAATGTGCCAAAATAGACGACCAAGGCAAGTTGTTTGTTTTTGTTTAAAATCAATAAAATATATTTTTTTACACCAATGAAAAAATAATACACCCTGTTTAAGATTATAATCAATTTATGTGTTTGCTTTTTTCAGATATGAACAAGGACATTGATGCTGGCATCAAAGACCCGCTTGTTGATATTACTAGCTTTGGGGACACAAATTTGGCTGAGGGTTTTGGGGACGATGTTGAAACTCCAGGAACGTCACATGCTGGAAACATTGTTCATCAAAATATGATCAAAAGGTCGGGATTCAATTTTGATTGAAATCACAAATTAACAAGCAGATTCAAACTTTACAGATTCAATCAACATTCCTTCATGGTTCTCAAGGCTTGCCATCAATCAATAAAAGATGACGGAGTTGCGGAAAATGGTCAAGAAGAAGCACAAAGTTCTAGTAAACCTGTAGAAGAGGAAGATGAAACTGTTGTCAAAAAGGTTCGACCAGATGTTCTAAATTAATGTTTCATTAATCTTAATCTTTACTTCAGAGACGAATTCAAGAAAAGCTCTCCTATGACGATCTCGAGGACTCTTCGGAAAAAATCACTGCTTGTCTCAATTTATCCAAAGTAGAGCGGTACCTCCATGGTCCCATCACTGACCCAGTAAATAATTCTGAGGCGCCAGCGGAGCGAGTGAGTTTGACGGTGCTTCGGGAACTGATCAAAGCATTGCAGACGCCTCTTGGCTCGTCACACCAAAACCCAGCGGCCTTAATCACCCCAGCTCAGGCTATCAATGCCATAGGAGAACTTACACCTGGTGGCTCTTTAATGAAAGGCTTCCAGCATGAGGCAATCGCAAGCATGACCCCTGCGGACATCGAGGCGGACCTCAAGACGCTATACCTGTCAATTTGTGAATTGTTGCGGCATTTTTGGGCTTGTTTTCCACCCACTACTCCACAACTTGAGGAAAAAGCTACCACGATGCATGAAACGTTGCATCGTTTTCATGCAGCTAAACTGAAACCATTTGAAGTAAGAAGTTTTTTGTTCTATATAGCAATTATGAGTAATTTTAACTAATAATTATTTTTAAGGATCGAGTTTTGCGTGAATGCTCCCCACTCAGCCACAACATCACTAGTCATCTGAACCAACTTTTGAACTCAGCCTACAGGAAATTTGCTATTTGGCAACAGCGCAAGATGCAACACTTCAGATAGCAGATTCCAATCAATGCCTAAAACTACCATGTTAAAATAAACACACGTTGAAAATTGCTCTGGAAGATTGAAAACATTTGAAATAATATACATAGTACACACTCAAGAAACTAAAGAATTGTGAGAAATTTGTCGGGAAAAATGGCACAATCATATTTTCGGCAGAGGACCAAAATCTGTTGTAATGAACCGTAAACCAAAATAAATTAGAAAAATATTTGAAGTATCTTACAGTGAAAGTTTGAAATCATATTATATCTGCAGCCAGCCTTCAATTTAATAAAATTACAGTACTGATTGTGAGTGTGAGAGGATAGCAAATTGTCATGAAATTATTGTACAGTTTCTTTAAATTTCTTTAGAATTTTGAAAAACATAAATACAGTTATAAATGCAATTATATTTCAGTATATTGCGTATATTGTTTTTCTAGATAATTACGAAAAAATAACCATTTTTACAGGAAAAAAGTACACATACAAATAATTTAATAATATAATGCCATATAGTATCATTCTTGCACAGCCATTGCAGGTTTTTTTATGTGACTTTGGTGGTTACCATGCAGCCAATAAAGCGTTAAATTTTTCAATAAAGAAATTTAAAATTTTGCTTTGTCCTTCGCAACCTAAAACTTTCAGCGCGCTTGTTTGAATTCAAAATGCAAGGAGGCAAGCGTAGGAGAGGAGGGAGGGGCATGCAAGGAATGCATGTAAATAAACAAACACTTTTATTCTAGTTTTAAAGTGCAGCGCCGCAGAAAGCAGGATTAGCAGGATGCAAAGTCTTAGCCAATTTTAATATTTCATTATTGCGAATATGTCATGCTCGCGGTTAGACTGACTAGAATTATAAAAGTGTGGCAAATTTCCCATCTTTTCATAGTCACAGCAAGGTGATAAATGATAAAACACTTTTTTTTATGTGCTGTTTTATGTTTGTGTAATACTTAATTAAAGTCTTACGTTATTTGACTTTGCATAGCATCGATCTGATTACTTCTTATCTTATTGCAAAACCTTTGAAAGTATTTTGTAGTATCTAAAATATCTTAGACTTTTTGATAATATTTAAGCTGATCACCACTTTAGCACTCGACTTTCCTTAGTCTAAAGTTATAATGAACATTCATTACTTTTTCTTTGACTATTTTACGCAACTTTTACGTACCATTCGTCGTATTTTCCTCCCAATCAGAAACGCCGTGGCGTTTAATTCTTGGTAGGCGCACTATTTAATTATGTATGTATGCTAATTCAATTTCACAGCCACACACAACGCTGATCTTTGCTTTCATTCATATTTGTTGCAAAATACAAATCATGCATAATCTTCTGTGAATATGGGTGTTATTAATTTGTCCTGTTGTGTCTTGAAACATTTTTATTTTATCAGGCAGCTGATATATTTTATTTCAATTGGTTCTCTTGTGTGTCTATTATTTTTGAATGATTCATTATTGATTATGCTGGTTTGCGTTAATATAATATTCTAATTCATACATTTATGACCAATAAATTAATTAACATATAAATTTCAGGATTACGATGGCTGCACCTGATAATTTCCCGTCCACTCTTGAGGGGTTTGGTTATGCCTTCAACATCAGTGAGTTTTCTACTTATTCATTGTGGACATTTTAAAATTTATTTGAAAATTTCCAGATGGACAATTGGTGAAAATAAATCCAGAAAATAACCAACTAACAGATAAACCGTTTGAATTTAACGTCAGTGACAACCATAAACACAACCAACTGCACTATGAAGCTCTCGGAGAAGTATTAATTTTTTTTTAAATTTCTGTTTAATTATTTTCCTAACTATTTATTTGGGAAATAGGTCATCGATCAATTTGTGTTCAAACTGTTAGAGGAGGAAGGCCTGAAACGATTTCCTGTTCCTGTTGATCCTGAAGACGGAGAACCCCAGACCTTTGTGTTTGCAACCCCAGATTTCTTGACTTCCTCAAAAGAGAAGCCTCTGCTGATTTTGATTCATGGAAGTGGTGTTGTACGAGCTGGGCAGTGGGCTAGAAGGCGTGAATTTGAATTTTTACAAGCTGAAAATTAATAAATTATTCTGCAGACTCATAATCAATGACTGTCTGGATACAGGGACACAGATACCTTATATTAAGGAGGGCCAAGAACTTGGCTACAACATTCTAGTTCTTAACACAAATGACAACAAAAGAACCATCGACACTGAAGAATTTCGAATTAGGGTAACATCTTAGTGGGTTTTTGAAATTTTGTACTGAAGCAATTATTTTATTTCTATCACAGGGAAGCGAAGAACCTGTTGGCCACGCTTTATATGTCTGGGACAAGTACGTGATGAATGCAAATCCTGAGAAAATTGCTATTGTGGCACACAGTTTTGGAGGGATTTGTACCAGCTTGCTGGTAAGCTCAGCTCATGATTTTCAAATGATTTGACTGCTTGCTCTTGTAAATTAAATTTTTGTAATATTTTCCAGGCAGCAAAAAGAAATGAGTCTTTTGCTGAAAAGGTTTTTGCTGTGGCTTTTACTGATTCGGCCCACTTTGCTCTCCGTGGTGATGACTTTTCACATTTGCGAAAGGTAAATTGCCATATACATAAATAATTGATTTCCAAATTTAACATTTTTTTTTTATTCTTCTTAATGGAATTTATTCATGAAACTTGACCTATTTTTTGTTATAATAATAATTTTTAGGTTGGTAGAAACTGGTGTTCATCCGACTTGCCGTTGGATACGTTGTTGGACGATGATATCTCGGAAGATGTGGAATTTGTCTCTGCAGGTACTGTGAACAGTATTTTCCCCACATACAATTTTCCAAAATTCATAATAGCCTCGTATTGTAAATTGTCATTGAAAATTTGATTAGCAAGAGAAATGGAAAAAAAAGATCCAATCAATTGTTGTTATTTTTGTATTAGCTTTTCTGGAAATTTTAAATCACTTTGAATTGCTTTGAATTTGGGCTATAAATTAATGTCATAAAAACTAAAGTCAGAAAACAGATAGCAATCTTAATTTCATAATGTCAGAGTCTATCCATGCATAAAGGGGTGCATCATTCACTCAGCAGGTGGAATCGAACCACTCCGCCGTTAGGCGGCTACAGGTTTGAAGCCTGCACTCCGGACCACCGAAGCTCAGCTGAGCAACAAAATTTTGTGTCTAGTGAATTACTTAAATTCAACTGCACCTTGGTGGTCGTATTTACATCAAAAACCAATTTAACTTTGCTTTATTTAATGCTCCTATAGATTTGATCAAAAAGCATTTATTTTGCTAGCGGCTGGTTTTTTGCTGTAAAAGAATTACCAATTTAAGTATATTCTGGTATTACAGAGTTGATATGCTTTGAGTAAAAGGTCTCTCAAAATTGCATGCATTTTCCCATTGCCCCTGTAAAGTAGGCTTCTATGCATTGGCTGGCTGGTAGTTCCGTCTTATCAATAATTTAATTTGTGCCCACATACGATTTTATCTAGGACACAACATAAGTCTACAATATGACTTAAAAAATAAATACTTCGCCCGAATAACTGAAATTTGATGATTACATTAAATTAATGTGGTAATTTATTTTATTTCTGTAGTTATTATTCTCTCTTTTTATCACATAAAAGATACGAGTGGTTTTGACTCTATTTTCCTTATTATTTTTTTGCCACTTGTTCGATTCAATAATTCCACCCCTTTACTGGAAAGGGTGTCCTTCAGAGGTCCACTCAAATCAAATCCCCACACAAATGGAGGCAACGGCTCAGAGTCAAAGCAAGTCAAACAATGAGCGCGCCAAGTGGTCGTGGCTTTTCGAGTACCACGAGTGCTCTGACCAACTAGCAGAGTGCATTTTTGCGGCCACTCGACTCGCCTTTTGCGACAGATGTGTGCACAAAGTGTCACAGATGGCCAATGATGAACTTTTGCTCTTCGACAGGTCACACTCAGCATGAGATGACCTCAGCCACCTCGTTCGAGTCGGTCTTCAAGTACATTGAGCATCTGAGGCGGGAGCCTGTGAAGACAGACAGTCCAGTGAAGAGGACTTCAGATCCTTCCTTGAGTCCAGGGGTTGCGGAGGGTGACTTTGATGTTAGGCCGCAGCCAGAGGGACAATCGTTCATTGAAGAGCAGGTAGCCTTGGAGGAAAATAGCGCAGAAACTATGGAAGAAAAGGGCTTAGAAGCTATGGAAGAAAAGTGCGTTGAAGCTACAGTGGTAAAGGGTGTTGAAGCTATGGAGGAAAGCGGCTTAGAAGCCTCGGAAGAAAAAGGTGTAGAAAGTGTCCAGGAAAGCGGCAATGAACCTGTAAGTTACATTATTTTATTCAAAATTTTTATTTTCAATTTTATAATATTTATTTATATAAAAAAAATTAAAAGATGTTTTGCCATTAAAAATTTTCTAATTTAAATTTGTGCCTCAGGCAGAGGCAATTGCTTCTGTTGCAGAAGCTGAAGACTCTAAGATGCAGACTGACATCGAGATTGATAACAAAGCACAAAAAAAGTGATGAAGGAAAAGTGAAGGTAGATGATGAACTTTAAGAAATTGGTATTTAATTTGTCATTAATGTAAGCAAATCGGCACAGGCATTTTAATTTTTTTTTCATTGTCATTAAAATTTTGTAAATGATGAAAAAGGTAATGAATAATACCGTTTTTAAATTGAAATAATACTAGTTGCTTTTAATTGCATTGACCAGCTGTTTAAAAATAATACCATACAATAATTTATTTGTCTTGCACTTCTATTATAATTAAAGAAGGAAATTTGACCCACATTAATGCATGTGGAATAATTTGAGAGAAAACTTAAATTAACTGGGGGAATTTATTATAACTATATTCTAAAAATATTTAAATAAAAAATCAATCCTACCTCATATATATCTAAGAAAAATGTTGCTTTTGAGGTTCATCTTAAAATTATTATGACCATATACATCTAATTTCAAGTAAATTAAGGGAGAAGTATGATTATATTTTTCAGTCGAATATTTAGCTTGATTTAAAAAAAAACCACGTAATTATACAAGGAGAAAAATTTAACAGTTTACTCACAGCATCTTGTTTTTTAGCGTCTCTCAGAAAAATTTACTCAATAAATTTACTGAATCATATAATCACGCTTTGCGTTTTCCTTGTTAATGGCTGCCGTTTATCAGTAGTTTGACCCGACGACTCCCTGCTCCATCAGTATGGATTCGAGACGGTGCACGAAAATAAATTTATCAAATATCATTTAAAAGATTCAACATTTTCCTCCATAACGAGCACTACTATTGTTAAACTTTGGAGCATTATTAAATCCATATTCCCACGGAAAAGGCGTTTTTGATTGATTTGCGTTGGATGGGCTTCCCAAGTCTTTTCTTTTCATAATATTATTTTCGGCAAACGCCAACGGACGAAAATGAGTTTTCATGCATGATCAAAAAGTAAATCACAAGGCAGATTGCTTGCTGCCTCCTACATGCTCGTTTTCATTGTTGTTGCTGGACCATAAGAGTGAACGAGAGATGCTGCTCCGCTAAAACAATGGGATGTTGTTGCTTAGCCGCGCACTCAGTTCTTCCCACGGCGACTGATTGGAGCCTCATTCTTTTTATCTGCTGGACAAAGGGCCTCTTTCATTGCCACGCTCTTTTCTCCATCTTGGATCGCCAAACGAACATGCTCTGCTTTGACGCACTCTGATAAAGTGGAGATGTTTATTTCAAATTTTGTTGCGGGTGCGACCAGGCCACAAAAGGAAGCATTCATTTCTAATTTGTTCATTATGGATTATGATATATTGCTACATTTTTATTAACAACAGACTAGTGACTTATAGTGAGAAATGATTTAATGGTATAAATAATTTAAAATATTTCCTCCTCAATTGGCTCCCCCGACTTTAAAATATATATTTTTTTTTAAATAAAATTTGACGACCTATAAATCAATTGTATTAGCAAGTGCTTTGATTAGACGCACTCAGCCAGAATAATCCTCTGGCAATCCGGCCCTAATTTTAAAATCTATGACTTTGAGCTTCAGAGTTCAATTTGTACGCATCACAGTTCATTAGAGAGAAACAAATTACACCGCCGACAGCGTCAGTTGGACTACGCTTCTTACGTAGAATTGCGTTAATTTGTCACACGTCTCTCGCACTAGATTTCTTGAAACAATCAGGCCAACATTGCTCCAAATTTAAATTTACATTGGTCGCCTGTGAGTGTAAATAATTACAAAAGTGACGTAAACGAGCTTTTGTAGCAACTAAATAAAATTCTTTTGATATATGTATATTTGTAGATATTAGTTTTCTTACAATTAATTTTAACGAGTATATAAGCTAGCTTGTGGGATTTGCTGGTGCGAACAGCTAATATCTCCCATTATATTTTGCATTATATTGCTTGCTTTTATTAAATATTATTATCATTATTATTGTTTTTGATTTATTTGTAAGTTTATTTCTATAAATCATAAGAAATGCAGCAGTTCTGCTGTTAAAAGTTAAAATATTTATGTATTTTGTACATCTTTTGATATTAATAATTGTCAGAAATACATCTATCTAGTTGAAGAAATTGATTAAAATTCATTTTAAGTGAAGGATTTAAAAAAAAAATATTACACAATTGACAATTTACAGCAGTATCATGCGGCATTCATAGATTTTCTTTTATAACTGTTAAAAGTAGCTCTTGTATTATTTGTATTATTCAGTATAAAAGTTAAATCATTAATAATTCTTCCTATTCCTATATAAAATTTTTGCGCTCCGCTGGACACGGCAAAAATAATAATAGAAAAAAATGGTGCACAGCACCCAATAACACACCGCAGAGCCATTTCTTTAAACATGAGAAATTTGCATTCAAGACGTCTAATTAGTAGAGGTTGTAATAGAGATCTTAACCTCTCGCGCTTGTAATGCATTCAACGTACTCGCGGCTAATAAGAAAGAGACGAAGAAAAAGGCGCATGAGAATGATAATCATTGTTCCTTTGTCGGGTGCGCAACTAACAGACCCACGTCATTTTTCGTGTGCTTCTGAATTTTTTAATTACGCTTTGAAACTTTGAATGTACTTGTATGCTAATGCAATAAAATCTCCGTGCTATCTTGATGCACTTTAATTGTTACAAGCACCAAAAAAAGAAAATAATAGGCTCAGGACAATTTAACTGTTTCATTTTTTCTTGCATGTGCAGTCTAAAGTCTTAATAAACAAGAATTTTCTGACAGATTCCGTTTATGTCAAGTACGAATTTGCGTGAAAATACTGTGTGAAATTTTCAGTTGTAATTAATCTTGTTGGGTATGATTAATTTTTGTTCTACTTCCACAGCACAAACCACCACAAATTGCTTGATTACTTAAAAAAAATATACAAGATTTTCTTTGAAATTATGTAGAAGAAATGAAACAAATTAAAATAAATTTTTACAAATTAATTTTATAACATCTGACGATCGCGTAAAAAACTTAATGAAATGATTAGCGTAGGATCAAGATATTGGAGTTATATTGCAGTAATGAATTGATTTTCATAATTTCATTGTACAACTAAGACGGTGTTTATGATAATGATTCGTCCGTTTTAAATCTCAACTTTCATGGCTTCAGTGAAATGAAATAAATAGTATTTGATGGCTCGGCTCTGCTCGCAACCCTTAATTTACTCCGCTAGGCCCAATATCTAAAAACACCGGAGCAAAAAAGTGTGTCTCGATCGGCGTCGCGCGGAGAGAGTCTGAGCTGCGTAATCACATTTTGTGCCAAATGCCCACTGCTTGCGTGTATATTTATTAGTGGTAGTGAGCTATTTAGACATGCTCTGGCCTTTAGCCTGAAAATACGGATATGTCGTGACCTCGGCGCGGAGTTTAGTTACTCGGCGGACGGACGCGGACGGACTCGGTGTGGCTGCACGGCTATTGATAGACCCCTTTAGAACAATGCTATTGTCTCTGGTGGACGATTCATTAGAAGTAAGCAGCGCAAGTAGCGAGTGTAACACTCTCTGTGCGGCGGCAGGCAGGGGTTACAAACTTTGTGAGAGCGAGAGCGCCGTTTCTTCTGCTGTTCAAATTCCTGGCGCAACCTCTTGTTTGCACGCACCATCAATTAAGCGCTTTTTCGCTTGGCTGAAACACTTCAAAAAGTCACAAGAGTCGTCGCGACTCGCCAATTTATACAACCACACAACATGCCGAGTGGAGTAATGCGACCGTTTCGCGAACTGCAACTACAATGTAAATCGCAAAATTGTTGTAAATAGAATGCTCCGATCCAAAATTATTAAAAATCATTTTATTAAACTTGTAATAAATAACTTATTGGTAAGATAATCAATTAAATTAAATTATTAACAATTGAATTACATGTTTGACTATTGTGTTATTTTTAACTTTTTTGTCTTTACTTGGTTTTATTTCATTTGTTTGATGTATTAAAAAAAATTTATGTTTTATTTTTTGTTTATTTATAAATTTTATCAACATATTTATGTTTCTTAAATTTTTTATGTGGTTCTAAAGGTAGTTTCCAAGTTAATTGGTATTTTTAATTACAATGAATCTAATTTGAGCTGATGAGAAGCATCACATACTAACTGTAAGTGATAGAAATATTTCAAATTTATTAATTATAAACTTTAGTCAAAGAAAAAGTAATGGTAAATTAATAAAAATTCTTTCAAGCGGCATTCTTTTCTGACAAGCTTGTAGCTCAAATTATTTTTTCAGCTTTATCTAAAATGATAAAACAAAATGAAAATTTTCATTCCAAAATTTCCAAGTAATTACAATTACTTAAAAAAATAACTCATAATTCAATTCATATTATTCATACCATTCAAATTGATTACAAACAAAAACCATAACTATGTTGTAAATATTTGCTTTAATTTCTTTTTGCAGAATTTTAGAAGTAAGACATATAAATTGGTACACACAATAGTATTTTCCTCTTTAATTCAACAATCTATAATTTTTATTTCGATTTCTTTTTAATATCAGTTCATATTTCATAATAATAATAAGTTCATATTTCAAACTAAAAGTTTGGATTTTAGCAAGCCCATTGTAGTAAAATTGTTTTATAAAATTGTAGTACACAAAAATTACATTCAGTCTTTTATTTTCTCCACTTGGATACGTTGCCATCAATAATTCCACGTCGAGAAAAGGGAGGTGGTCACATTTTTATTTTTTTATTCTAAAAAAAGGGATAAAATTGGTGCCTTGCTCTGTGCGAGCAGCGCACGTCAGCGTGAAGCACGCGTTGCCAGGGCTCCATAATCCCCGCCCGCTGGCCATCATCATTAGCGGCAGTGACACTTCGTAGTCGTCGTGATTCCGCGGCGCGTGTCCAATTGGACAAAGGTGGCCACCCGGAAGATGTCGACTTTCGACGGCACGGAATCAAGACCAACCGCCTCTTCTGCGAACCTTCCTATGTGGTCTGCGAGAGAGTATTATATTATCAGAGTGTTGCCGAAAACAAAATGCAATAGTAAAATAATGCAATACGACACACTAAGCAATTTGAACGTGTTCCGTTCGAAGCTTGGAAATTTTTTGAATAGAGCACTAATTAGTGCAGCTAGCCTTCAGAGAGCGGTATTATATAAAGTATACTTTCAAGCACTCAATTTCGCAGAAACCAGAAACCAAAGGAACATTAAGAGTCTTGACAAAGGGCAACATTTATTATTTCACTTAAATAGAATTCCTGAAAGTCTAATATTTCTGACAATAATTCAACTCAAGAAAAAATTTTTTTTTTGAAATTTATAAAAAATAAATGTACAAATAGCAGCAAATCAAAACTTTTAAGCAGATTTCTTGTATCCTCAAATGAGCTGCTTTTGAAGTTGCCGGCGTTTAATGTGTCCTCTCATATTTAATGATTTCCGCACTATAAAGAACATAATAGATTTGTCTCCTGGAAACCAATGAAAGCAGTGCCGAATATCAGAGAGTGCGAAACGTTTGAAAAAAATGTGAGCAAAATCAGCAGTGTTGGTACGAGGCACGTCTGCCTGCCTAATTACACATCATGCATTAAGCGCACAGATAAAGATCTTGCAGTCTACACGAAAACAAAGGCACCAGCGGTGTTGTAAAGAAGAACGAGCGGTGCAAGCAGTATAACCCACCTTAAAAGAGCTCGCTAGGATAATAATAATAATAATAATAGCAGTAACAATAACGAAAAAGAGAATTATATATAAAGCTCTCGGTGCAAAGAGAGAAGAAAGGATTATAAAAAAAAAGAAGGAAGCGACCGCTTTTTTAAGATAAATTTGTGTGCCTTCTTATCTAATTAAAACGTGAACAATTTTGCTAAAAGCTTTGTATGTCGGCCTGTTATCGAGATTTTAATGTTCACTTTTGCATTTACACCCCGTGGCGAGGATGCTGCTGGCTGCTGCTTATTATAGCGTCGCGCGCTTTAATTACTCTCTGGTCTCTCTGCATGAAGGTTATTATGATTTTCCGAAAGCCACTCGAGTCAGAGATGTGCCTCACGATAGCGCTCTAATTGAAAATCAAGGTTGCACATGTTCAAATTTCTGATTCGCTGTGCACAAAGGTGACTCTGGAGCTACCGGATTTTTTTTTATATTTTCATTTTATCTTGGATCTATTTACAGCGTAAACTTCGTGCGAAAACTGGGCGTGCTTGGACGAGTTCAGAAGTGCCAAAAGTCAGCTCGTAAATATGCCACGCATGGATATAATAATTGGTATCTTCCTTTTCTTTTGTGGTATATGAGCCGTCTAGACTATAGCCCAGTTCTTAATAAGTGACCTAAATCTTTATATTTATAGGTCCTTTCAAATTAAACTAATTTATCCAATCATTTCACAAAGTATGTTTCACTTGAAGGAAAAATATCTAAATTGAATTTACTATAATTGAAAACATTATATATAGTCTTCTGGGTACTGCCTGATAATTTTCATTTCTTGATAAAATTTTCTAACTTTCTTTTCTTAATTTGTTAACTTATAAGGTGCTTTTTAAAGGTTTTTATTTTTAAATAAAAGCAGTAGGTTTTATTTTCTTATCAATGACATTTTAATGACACATGTGTATACCTTTTCTTCACAATATAATTGTATTATTTAAAAGTTTTACAATTATTGGTTTTGCATCTAGAGCGCGTTGCCTTCTCTCATATTCACAAAAAAAATCATATATCATATCATAAAGTAATACACCTCGATTTTTTAAGTGAGAAAGTGAGTGTGTCTTCATGTGATGCGTCATGTTTATATTTTACAATTTACAAATATTTGCTTATCCGTCTGGGCCACTTCTCTTCTAATGCGTTAAATTTATACAAAAAATGCACGCGCTGCTTGAGAGAGAAACAACAGATTTTACTTCAGAGACAACCATGCGTGCTGTTGCTGATTTTCAACAAATTGTCACTATAATAATTTATGAAGATAGTTATGCACATTTTTTTTTTTTTTTTAAATATCTTTCAACACCAATTTCTCACATTTTTTTTGCTTAACTCTCCCTTTCTACTTTTTTGGAATATTTTTTGATAATAAAAATTACTTTTTATTCAGGGTGTGTATCAAGTCTTTGGCTTCCAAAAAGGTCACCGAGCTTTTTGAGACTTCCTTTTGAGACTAAACAGATTTTCCACTATAAATTTAAGATAATGTAACAAACAGTACAAAAACATTCTTCTAACAGATATATCCAAAAACAGCTTCACAATCTTTGCTAGAGACTTTGGGCGGAGATTTGCAAATTCTGTAAAAGGAGGAGATTCTTCAAAAATCCACCTTACACGGTATTATAAATTTCAGTATAACCTAAAATTTCTGTACTTAAAGAGTTGAAAAGCGGACTTTGAAAGCTAACAACCTTTCAACTGACTGAAATGGCACGAAATTGCAAAATAAAAATAACTCATCCTTAAAAGTTACAAAATTCATAATAATTCTAACGAAATGATGCCAGAAGTAGAGAAACTTCAGAATTTGCAAACCCACCAAAAGAATAAAAAACGGGGTGGATGCCAAAGGTTTGTGTGTTGAGGGGGCGGTCAGCAGCGAGTACAAAAATATGTACGCATATAATAAATTTGAAAACGTTCTTCGCTCGGGTGGCGCTAGAAAAGAGAAGCGTTCGTGCGGGGGCGGCCGTTGGGGGCAGGAGCCGGCGACGGGCGCTAGGGCGGGGGCGGCGGGGCCGAGCACGCGATCTGGCGCCACACCGAGTGTCACATGGAGCTCATGTAGGGCCAAGAGAAGGAGCTGCCGCTGAGCAGCATGTCCCTGATGAGCGTCTCGATCGGCGTCTTGCCCACAAGCCGTACGAAAAAGAGCTGCTCGATCACCTGCGAGCTCACAGTGCGCAGCGACGGCAGCCGCAGCAGCAGCTTGCCGAACCGCGTTGGCTGGTTCGGGTACTGCGTGCGGCAGTACTCCTCCAGCGCGCACTGCGACTTCTCCTGCAGACCCTCGATGTGCCCGACGTCCGAGAGACCGCAAGCATCTGTAGACAAAAAATGGAAAAATTTAGTTCTCGATTTTGGCAGATTTAACTGTTTTTATATTAAATCAGGAGAAAAAGCAACAAATTCAATTGGTCAATTGCATTTGTATGCACCCTGCTGGACACTGGTGCAGCGCGTGTTGCATAAAACTAGTTCTCTATCCAAGAGGAAATTCATTACGCACGAAAAAAAACGATTTCTGGTGTTCCTTTTATTATACAATAAAAATTGATAAGTCTTTGAAATAACAAGCTTTTTTCAGAAAAATTGGTGAATTTTTTTTAGTTCATTACAATTCAAAGTTAGTTTTAAAAGTAAATTTATTACATTTTCCTCTTTGAGATTTGTAAAATTTAGACTGTTTTTGTCAGTCTGGTTCGTTTGTCAATTTTCATATCTTCCACTTAATGGGATACAAATTTTGCATTTCCTCTTTATTTTTTACTCCCTATTAATTATGAAATTTAAAAACCCTGTCAGAAAATTAATGCATGTTCTTTAAAAGCACATAAAATAATTAAAGGAATTAGTCTTTGCAGAGAGATTTTACTCTGATAGTTTTCCCTGGAACTTGAGCAGCAGTCAATAAAAATCGTGACGTTCTCATTGCTTTTTAAAACACTCAAGTTAGAATTTTACACTTATGAGAAACATCGTGCCCGTGCGGCTGCCGACGGAAAGAATATAATTCCGTCATTGTGCATGCGATAGAATAAGGATCTCAATTAAAAGCGATCCTCTGAGTTTCCGTTACTACAGATTTGAATTGTTCAAAGTTAAAACAAATTGGGGAAAATAAATAAATGAATAAAGAAAACTTTGTTCGATCGCTTCCTATAATTTCAATGGAAAATCGTGACGAGAAATCGGCAAGAAAAGCAGGAGCAAATAACAGACCGTGCGATAGATCCAGTAATGGACATCGAGCAGTTGCCTTCGGAATGGCCGGGAGATGCGTTATTTTATTGTCGCGTCACGACTGCAGCATATAAATTTGTGCCTTTATGCAAGTCTCTCATATTTCGCCGCAATCAGCGAGCAACGAAAGAGAATATTAAAGGATGAGAGAAGAAAAATCCAACGCAGAGCAGAGAGACGTGTATAAATTTTATGTTATTGTTCTTGAGAGATGCTGCGGTGGTGGGACGAGTACATAACAAAGTTAAATTGCAGCACGTGTCCCCAGGGATTGCGTCACTCGCGGCGCCGTGAATCACATCCAGGGCGACGACGACCAAGGACCAGAAACATAAGTATGCCTAGCGACGGTGTGCGACGCATGAGACGCATGAGATGTGCACGCCACAGCATTTTAAAAAATTGATTTGATTGGGTCCAATTGGTGCGTCAGCACGACCGCGTGCTCAGTAGTTTACAGCCCTGATTACTGGCGCCAAAGAGGAATTATATTTATGGAAAACTAGCCCGATTAATCGAATGAAAAAGCGATTTTTTTTCAAGGTGGAGAATTTTAGTCAAAATGCATCTAGGTGAAAGAGATTTCGCTACGTAACTAATTAGTAACTCATTTATTTGTACTTCCTTCAAAATTAAGAGCTTGACAATTTTCAACGGTCATTTCTGCATAAAGGTTAATTATCTGGTCAACAAGAAATTTTAACTGAATTTTAAAATTAATCATTTCCTGTAGCTCGACTTTCTAATGATTTCGGTTTAATTAAATTTTGAAGCATGAATTTGATTCTTAATTTAAACTCTTTGATAATAGGTTAACAATTAGATGGCAGTTATATGTGATATTTCTTTTGATATCTATCCTGAGCGTTAAATATTGTGAAGATCTCTGTATAATTTATAATTTTTTAATAATTATTTTGAATTATCAAATTGAAGTTAAGTATCTCTTATAAATATATTTATTTCATAAAATCAATTTTAAAATTTTTATTTGCGCACATAAAAATAATTAATTAAAATAAAATTTGTTTTAAAAATTATATAAAATAACAGGAAATTATAAAAAAAAACAATTATTAAAGGTTGTTAATTAAATTATTTTAATTTTTATTTACATTATAGCTTTGTGAAAAATCCTAACCCGCTCAATCACTAAAAAATTCTCCCACTCGTTCAAAATAATGACGCACTCGCCAACAAACCCTCATCGCCGCGACTATGACAATGACTGGATTTCATATTTTCAAGTAAAAGTGGCTCACTGCATGAGGGCCCCATAATTCGATTTTAAACAACAAGAGGGGAATCGGTTTCACGCACAGCAACCACCCATATAATATTCAGCGCACAAAATTATGCCCCCGTTCGCTCGGCAGGCGTTTTTTAAGTTCGCTCCTCTGGCTCTTTTTCTCTTTCCTTTGATAAAGGCGACGCAAATCGAACTATTCGTGCGTGTCATCCAACCCATCTCTCGGCACAAGGGGATTAGAATTTGTCTTTTTGATATTAAAACACCCTTGTGGGATAACGCAGCATTATTTCGGCGCAGGTAATCAAGCGGAAAAGCTGCGGGGCGAGCAGCCCTTTACGGTTTGATCAGGTCAGCAGTTCATAGCTGACCGCTTTTGTTGGGAAATTTATACGAATATATAAAAATTGCCGTCCTGTTTCATATATAATTGAGATGGAAAACCTACACGTGCGTGGAGCGTAATAGACAGACATTAGGCGTATGTGAAACGTCTGGCTGATTTATGAAATGTGAAAATTATGGAAGCAGTCCTTTGTCGCCTCATGGAAATTAAAAGAGAATGTGTGGACGTATTTAATTGAGCGTGGAAATAAAAAGATGCTGCCTAGCTGCGAGATGATGTCACATATGCTGCTGGCTCGTCCTTTTAATACCAACTCCTCTCTCGTGCCTGTCACGTTAATCTGTTTAAATTCATCTCGGCTCATTTGTCTCAATTTTTCATCTCGACTTCTCGGCCTCTTCAAGCTTCCAAAAGCTGGCGACTGAATTTCTACTACAATATTCATCCCGGGATTCGGCGGCAAAAAATTAATGTTCTTCTGTGCAAAGTTTTTGTTGGCCCCGTATTTGACCCGGCGAAATCAATTTGGAGTAATTTACGAGCCGATTCAAATGAGGTGGAAGAGGTTGAAAAAGCGGTGGTCTTATTTTTTCACTCTTGGCTCTTCTCCCGGCGCGCCATCGATTATCAGATCGCATAAATCGCACATAAAGTGCAGGTGCCGAAATTCAAGAAATCCGCCGCTTTTTGCTCGAGCGTGTCCCTGATGCTGTCGAGAGAGCGGCTCGACCCTCTCTCTCTGTGGCGGTCGAGCCCGCAGGCACGCTAAGGTCACAAACGTCATGCATATTCAATTCGCCGCCAACTGAGAAGCACTGCACACTACTTTGTCATCAAGCTTTGTTACACTTTAATTCGCGCTTTACAATTCTGATTGCTCGCACTGGGTGTCGGGCAGCCTTTTTGGGGTGTTCCTTTGGATAAGCAGGGTGTCATTCTCAAAAGCTTCCACGTTTAATACATTCAGACTATCAGGGCCTGATATTTATCAATTAATAAAAATTTGGAAATTTATACAATCACACAATTTTCCGTTAGCGAATCAGATGGATGCAATTAAGCTTATTTATTTTGTTATAAATAAATTTTTGTTCAAATCTACAATATTATAGATTATAGAATGCGTTAAAAATAAATTATAATTATCTAATTTATTATAAAAATTTGAAACAATAATTTGATTGAAAAATCAGTTTTAAAATTATTATTCCTGTTATTGTTGATATAAATTGTATTTGACTAAACTTTTGTACTTATCTTAAAAATATTGCAATAAAAAGTACCTAAAAATCTCTTCAGCGGTTTCTACAATAATTTGTGCAGTCCAAAAGAGCAGCTGTTCTTGTTAAAGCACACCGTTCTCTGCTTTCTCCTTCGGCATTATGCATGCAATTCCAAATTTTCCACCGCTTGCCGGACTGTTTGCATTTTCCGCCGCTTTTCCTTCTCTTTGCTCAATCAATCACACGGGACGGACGCAGAGAGTGGACCCGAAAAGACCGTCCGTCCGACTCTTGGCTTGCGGGGTTTTAATTAGTGTGTATTGTGCATTTCCATATTCTGTCACCCAACACTTTCTCGTCATTTCCTCTGCGCTCATCCCGCCGTGCAGCGTCCCGCAGGCCACTCTTATTAGCATATTTACATAGCAAACATGAAAATCAATAGCGCAGAGGACTGACCCTGGGGGTCTGTGCTTTTAAAAAATTCGAAAGCCCTTTTTTCCCGGCCCAACTGCACTCACAGACAAAAAGCCATTGCTGTGATAATTATCATCATCTTTGCGGCGCGGGGACAAAAGAATAACGTTTTGACTTCTGTCTGTCACTCCGCTCAAGAGTAATTTGACTTTAAAATCTCGCAGAGAAAAATCTCCTTTTAAAAAGCGATGCTCTGCGGTCGGGATGAGACAAAAAATCGCCCCGTCGCCTCATATTGTAATCGGGGTTGATGCGAGGGAGGGTGAAAATGTAATCTGCTGACTTGACACTGAACCTCCCCATTGATGTTAAAAAGGAAGGTTCATTCGCCCTCTTGTAATGCAGAGACTCCTTATTTAACGCTCAATATCTCACTCTCTCTCGGAGGCACAGGCGACGGCGGATATTGTTCGCAAATTAAAAAAGAGAGCGAGAGAAGCAGCTTTTCGCCTTCTTTACGCACAGCGCACCAATGTGTAAAACAAGAGAGAAAGATAGACAATCGAAATTTGAGCCGCCGCTCGCGACTTTTCGCAAAAGTCAGACTCGGCTGCGTGACCGCCGAAGCGTGAAAACACATGTTAAAGCAGCGGGAGCGGCAAAAGTTAAAGTCTAAAGACTCATTTCATATATTGATTGAGCAGGAAAAGCAACGTGTCTTTTAAAGGGCAGAGAGACACATACATCATGTATGATATGACGAGAGGGGAGAAAAATCACCAGGGAGGAAAATTCTTCAAAATGGGACAAAGAAACAGGTGATTTTTTTGTAGTTCAGCTCTTATA